CATTTCTTTCCTTTCAAAATTAAAATGTAATGTATACAATTTTCTCTGCGTAAAAGTATGAAATTAACCCATTCAAAAATTTGAATGATGATGAAATGGAAATCCTACATTATTTTCGTCATACGTAAAATAGCATTCTGAACTCAATTGTTTTTGTCTGCTTATAATAAAAAAAGAAGACGAAGAATCTTCATTTCATCCTCACAGATAGTTCGGCATCATCATCGTGATGAAATGAGTCCTGCTTGTGCCAACTCAATAACAATGAGGGTGTAAAATGTAATGTTGTCGAGTTTGAAAATTGAAATAATCATATCGCCAATTATCCCAATTCTCATTCACTTCTGGTGCTGCGCTGGCTGGGCTGCAGCTACCCTCAATTATTTATTAAGCTGTGCTTCGTAGTAAGTAAGGTCTAAAGTTGGGGGAATAAAATTCAAGTAGGAGGCAGAAAAAATGGCCAACAGTCCGTGAAACAAGCTCATCTCTGAGATATTACTATTTTATTCGTCTTCTTGGTCAGTTCGTGTGGTTTTCCTTATTAATTTCTCACTCACTCACTCACCTCGCGTAAATAAAGAGTAATAATGATGATAATCCTTCAATATTAAGATGAATGGGGGGTGATTGTTGTAATAATGTCAGTAATAACAGGGTAGCAAGGGTATAGTTACGGAGTGAGATAGATAAGTAAGCACTACTTGATAAGGTGAATATGTATATCAATCATGTCATCTGTAAATGCATCGACTTGCATTTTTTATGAAAAATGAGACGCCAAAAACATAAAACTTTACAAATGAAGTGTTCAAATTTCAACAAAAGTTTTGGCGTTAGGTGAAAATGAGACTTTTGTTATTATGCACTCGGCATAATTTGATTTCTTAAATAAAACCGAGATTTTGTTTAAACCGTGGTTTTTTCCTGAATGTATATTTCGTTTCGTTTTTAACCTCACACGATGACGAAGTCGAGCTCTTTCTTTATTCTCTACTTCTTTTTTTTAATGGAGCTATTCCCAGTAGGAGACTTTTCCCAGTTGGTGGTTTGGTTACCAACAGGCTTTTCATCGGGACAATGGGCAACATAAATGTAAAACATAAACACAATTATGCCAACTTCGTCCCTGACCAAAAGAGCGAGGATGAAAATAAAGCAGCAGCAGATACGCCGAGTTTGCCATGGTTGGCGGAAGTCGGCTTTGTTCTCGAATAAAATTTGGGGGCGATAATTGCATCTGTCAACTTGGCAGAGAACAACTCTTCTTGTTCTTCTTCTCCGAATCTAATCTTTGCAATCGCTATGTTTCGAGATGGAAAAACAAAACGCGGAGTGAGCGATGACGACCTGAAGAGAAAGATGTGAATGGAATGCATACAAAGAGAGATGGCCGATTATTATTTGAACATATGTACCTGCTCCATTTTCGGCAATGAACATGTCATAAAAAGTGTCAATTGTGTGAAAAACAAGTCTTTCTTGGAGATGAGAGTCACAGATTACGCACTTTTTTTGCGTCACCACCACTTTCTTCACATACTGTAACTGACACGAGATTAAGAGATATGCATGATTTGTGGACTGGACTGGATTTTATAATTGGATCACTTTCTACACATAAATATCCAGAAGAAGAAAAGGATACAAATTGAGAACAAATTGACCCCGTCATAAAATATGCCTAACTCTACATGCGGATTAGTTCAGCCCCAAAAACTCGTAGTTGGGCTAAAATAAGCTCAAACTTAGATAATAACATACTTTTAATACGTAGTTGAGGTGAAGGTAAAACTAAGAAGATTCCGACCAAGGGAAGGAGGAATTCTCTTTGTTTAACCAGAATCCCGTTACAGATACGCAATTCCAGGCTAAATTTATATCCTTGTTATTGTCAGCGTCTCACGACATCCACACCGCAAAATGAAGGGTTGAAATGAAAATAAATGACAAGCAGAAGTCCCAGACCACCAAAACTCCAGATAAATATTAAATATCCGACCGACCAACTTCCGGGTCCCGTTGGGTAAACCTTAATCGCAATAATATATCTTCGAGTTTGGTACCCTTCACCCTGTCCATCCTTCACCTACGCGTACTTAAATAAGTACCTGTGCGTCTACGTATCCATGTCTTGCGTGGTCCACTGCCTTAGTTCTGTCATCCCAACGTAAGTACACGCTGGTTATTATTATTTATGCCCGAGACCAATTTCCCTTTTCAGATTTTATGTCTTTCTAAAAATAAAATTATTATTGCGAGGACGACCACGACCCTTCCTTCCTAAACAGAATATTTACTTATGGATCCCCATCTAAACAGGACGCTACTACTAAAAAAACTAAAAGTGCAGCTTTATTTAGCCCGAGTTAAGTTGTTATCAAGAATTGACGACCACAAAAACTGTATATTTTTCGAAAAATTTTGCTCATCTGAAAACTTGATTCGTAATTTTGCATATTCTACATGTGCATGTGCAAAATTCCAAGTCGATACATTGGATTGTACGTTTTACGAGCGTAATCGATAGACAGACAGACAGACAACCATGCCTGGTAGATAAGCCTTTATACTCTCCCTAAAAAGCCGACATTTTCTTAAGCAGCGCTTTAATAACGTCTAACAAGAGGAATTATTATGACGGAATGAGAATGGACAATTAATACGTGACCAACCAAATTAAGGCAGCCGCACTATTTGCATTTTCTACATACACACACGATGAAAGTGGATGGATAGATGAAGAAAAATCCTTTTTGGACATTACCAAAAATCGCCCTGCACCTGACCATCGAATCGTGTGGAGCTGCATTATATCGTAAAAATATGTGTGTATGCATGCACAATTTAAAACTCTCATCATACGAAGAATGGGAATCCTTTCACTGCCAAGGAAGGATGAAAAGTGGGTCAACCAACAACGTGTAGCATTTCTTCCTCTCTCATCAACATGATTAACATCGTCTTCTTCTTGAGCATTAAACTAAATGTGCATCCAAATCCAACACCCTTTCCTTCCTCCTCTTCTTCGTTAATATATGTGCATAGAGAGAGAGATGCACTACCACCACCAATTTCTTGCTATATGCAGCTGCCGTATCTTTCTGCATTCATTTTGGTTTACAGATACTTGGTTATGCCTGCATTTTCAGATTGGTTAGTTTGGGTGAGACGAAGCTTGTGAGATGGACGGTGGGCATTGTTGTAATGAGAATGTCCAAATCTAAAATGAGGTCAAATTCCGACTCTGGTCTACATTCATGCATATGCCGAGAAACGAGAAACACAAGTGTGTGTGGGTATTGGGGAGATTATTAAAAGTAATTTTGGGCATTATTTTGAGCAATTAAGTATATTTTTTAATTAATAGGCTTTAATTAATTTTATATCATCATGCAAATATTGTGAGGTTAATATGTATGATGTTCGAAAGTTACATGGTAAAGATTGGAGTTCATTGGTGGCAAAAAGGTTTATATAATGTATTTACTGCTTATAAACAGTGGCGGGTAAACCGGGTATGTGGCATAGGTGCCACCTAGGGGCCCCCGCGGAGCGGGGGCCCCCAGCCTGGCGTCATCCCGGTGCAGTGCTGGGTAAACCGGGGAGGTGAGGTATTTGTGACGTAGGGACCCTCACGCAGCGGGGCCCAGCACGCATAGTCCCGAGTGGGACTATGCGTTTGTTACAAGAATTGCAAGCGAATTTCTAAGACTAAATTCATGGATACTACGGCAATGCAAATATAAGAATTAATTAGTTGCATTTACTCATGTTCTAAGTAGCTTGCGAAACCACGAACAAGTGGTTCAGCAGCTACATACATACGTAGATAATGTAGACATAAACGAAAAAGGTACTATTTAAGGGTTCCAATCATTTTTGCACGTTATTCCGCCAAATTTCTGCATGTTTGCCAGATAAATAATATTGAATACAAGTGGGGGCCCCTTGACATGCTAGCCAAAATACTCGATTTTTAACGTATTCTTGCGATTCATGTTGTTGTGCATACTTATTTGGTCAAATAGAAAAGAATTAGTTCTGTTTAAATTATTAAATTTCTCTTAATCTAGTCTTTAATCTGTTATCCGGGTTGCGAATTCTTGGCTTCCCGTCTTGCCGAATGAAAGTCAGATTAATTCTTGGCAAATAATGTAATTTTCACCGTCAAGCTAGAACTAATGATTTAATTCAGTTGAAAAATTGCGTATGCCTGCTAACTTAACTTAGGCATGCTCAGGGCATTTTCACTGAAATAACTTATAAGTTATTCACGCTCATAAATAAATGAGAGAACCCTTATTTTGAATTTAATTGAATACGAGTATTGCCAAACGTGAAGGGATTTTTGATAGATTTTCAGCATCTGATTATGAGTTGTTCATGACTTTTCAAAACCGCTACAGCATCTCAAATTTTAAACAAATTTCAAACATTAAAGTACACGTTTACTCAGAATTGCCTTACATAGCTTTACAAAATTCCCTTACCAAAAATATCTATAAGGTTTTCAGTTATTTTACTGTATTTTGCATTTGCTAAAATTTTCAAATACATGGATGAAAATTTTAAATGTCACGTTTTTAGAAGTGTATTTTCCTAATTTGAGGTAGGCAATTTTCAGGAAGCTGGTTTTTAAATTTGTGACATCGGCTGAAACTAAGAAAAGTAATAGGGTTTTGAAAAATCCTTAGTTTGTCCGAAATTTAATTGAAAATTCCGCCACGAAAATTGCGAAAACACGCGCCTTCAAGCAAAACTCTAGGTTTCTTTTTTGCTGAGCAATTTAAAATTAAAGGTCAATGTCGAAGAGGCCCAAGTCTGCACGTTGTAATTATATTGAATAAATCATCACAAAAAAGTCACATAGGGGCCCCGAGCTGGCTAAACCCGCCACTGCTTATAAATATTGTAGAATTTTGGCAGGTCGGAATTTCCGACTCGGAAAATATGTGGAATTTTAAATGAACAATACACAGCACATCTACAAAGTTGCTTACTTTATTTTCCAGTTTTCCAAATTTAACCAATGCGACGCTCCACTATTGCAATTCTTCTTCTTTACAAAACAGGTTCAATCAAGCTGGCTTCACCAAAATTTTGTATGAATTTGTAATTGAGAAATACCGGTCCAACATCAATTTCTCTTTCGTCCGTCAGTCAGTTCACCTCACTTTTTTAAATCTTTCACGGAACACTCGCTTCCTAAATTTACTTTCACAACAGATAACGGTCCAGTCAGTTAGCAATAAAGCTTACGAGATACACGAGCTATGTAAACAATTTGTTCATGTATCTTACATACAGTATTTTTGCATGCAAAATGCAGCCAAGCCTGTGTACGTAGAATTGTCTGAAACGGATCCTCTCTTCACGAAAAATATTACGGTCTTAATAACTCAAATCTGCTTTATCACATCATCACAAAGGAGTAATAGTTGGGCAGTGGTTTAGTAGATCACTCACTTGCAAGCTCGTGTCAGGGTAAGGATCGTGTGAAAATTTAGGTAGTCTTATTTATTTACCATACGAATTTTGCCCTAGACGAATAATTCTTAAGATGATAGTGCTACTTAATTTGCTCAGAAGGAATAACGCACCGCGGTTGTTGCAGAGATTAAAAAAATAAACAAAAAGTGTTAAGATGCCGTTAGTTATATATGGCTGCGTGATGGTAGGAAAGTTAGTTAAGTTGTACATATTGCATCTCTTGGTAGGAGGATGGATGGATGATAATGATGCAGTAATTGTATTTTGCTTGGTAGTGAAATGATGCCGAATACATTTGTAAAGATGTACATATGTAAGTCATTTATCTTTGAATGATGCATATTTGTGCACTTGCGGATACTGATACGCACGTCACGATCGTACAGGTGGATGTATGAGTATGATTAAGGAAGAAGATCACCCTTACAATGGCGATGCTAATTATTAAATGGAGTGGACAATGTCCTTTTAAAAGCGTGGTTGGTTTGTCCACCTCCCCCACACACAAAAACTATGGGATACAAATTGTATGTGTGCGAATTTTGTATAGGAAAATTTGGGGAATAACGGTGTCGATTCATTCGTTCAACAAAGGTGCAGTAGGATACGCATTTTGTAGGGATTATGAAAAAATTTATAATTAATACGCATAATTAATGTACAATTTTAATTCCGTTTGGGAATTTTGCAGGATGTTTGAATATTTCAAGAAAAATAAAAAGGTTGATGGTGGGTTGCCCGTTTGTTAGGATTAAGATTGATAAATTTTAAGCAATATCAGTAAAGTGTGAAGTCGTTCTTAAATTACTAATTAATTCACTCTCAATATTTGTCATATACTAGAAAAACATGACCTTACCAAGGAAAACTAACATACACAACAACCTGCTGCGAAATGGCGTTAACGATCTAATCGAGAAATCCTACCACGCCACACCTCGCCCACACCCAAATTCCTTTTTTCGTAGTTTTCAGTTTTACTACTCGCTGCATAATCAAGTCGTCTTTTACCTTAACGGAAGTCTATAGTTTGGCAGAGACTGCAGTTTTATAGAGGATGTTATTTTTTAAACGTTGCATCTCTCATCTCATTTTAAACCCACTACTGACCTCACGTACGTATACATCTGCTTAAATACGTATGTATGTACATATGAATGAGAGACTCCTTCTTAGAAATGGATGCATTGTTCATTATGCATTTTTTATGAATGAATGAGTCACCTGGATGGGTGTATGTACATAAAAATATTTAAATTATGGAAAGCAATGCATATCGTATCGCAATTATAGCCAACAAACAAACACAAAAACAATGGGCATAACTGTGTGGTGACGTTAAGAAACACTTTCACCCGGACAGACCGGATGTCATCAATAAGTAAATGTGACGGACCCAAACCCAATTTGCGACAATACGTAGATAAATTCTACATATGTCGAGTTTTTATAAATTTCATAAAATTTGGCGATATTCTTCTCGTACAAAATTATGTTAGAAAAACAAAGTATAACAACAACCTTCACCTAACTATTTATCTATTTGTACCAAATACGAAACATGAGGCACAAACATCACGCTACTTTTGTATGTTAATGTAAGTAAACGTGTGCAACTAAATAATTGAAACGTATCTAGGAGCAGATTTATAAAACACGAATTCAATAGAGAATTAGTCCTGCTTCGCTTATTTCTTCTTTGAAGCTTAGTGGGCAGAACTGTAGGTAAGTTAAGCAAAAGAAAAAAATTTCTCCTTCCACAATTGTTAATCAACAATCGACAGCTCTCAATGAAATAAAGTCATCAATTCTTTAATCTGTAAATAATTGAATTGTTTTTCAACCTTTTTCTCCTAAATTTCGACCATTGATATTATTTCATCCAGTTGAAGTAGTAAAAGAGGAGACCGGCCACGACGACATGTTAACACGTCAAAAACAAGCGAATCGACATGATTTCGACGAATTTAAAGGAAAGTGAATGCTGCTTAGGAAATTATAATGGAATCCTCGTGCTGGTTAAAAGCCGTCATGCCATGCAGACCAATTATTCAGGGATGGATGAAAGGGCTTTAAATTGGGACAAATAATTGTGAAATGGGTGCCGCGCATACATAGTTTTCAGAAATTTTCAATCCGAATCTAAAACTATGTGCAAACACTGATTTTAGAAACTCTAAATCCAAATCTTAATTAAGGGAGTACTTGACTCTTTAAAAATGTAAGTACCAATTTCTCCCAAAATTTGTCTCATAATGAAATCGAGTATGAAATGCAATGCATCGCCAATTTTTTAAGATTACGACAATTGTAAACAAGAAATTGCATTATCAAGATTTTACTTCCACACCACCACAAGTAGTTTCGTTGGACTCACCTGTCAGCAAGTCGTAAGTATGAGATGATATGATGCTGAGCAAAGATTATATTTCGAAATTGACTTTTAATTCGAAATTTGGCAATTTCCATCCCTTTGTTATCGACTCAGAACAAAGGAGCGGAACTTGGGTGTAGGACACCACCGCCTCCACCTTTGACATCGTTTTGTTGAAAGTCATGCATCGTCATCAAAAATGTCTGTACATATGTAATGGCATGTCACCATACAAACGCACACACAATTGTAATCACGAGGGTTGAGTGAGAAGTGACATTTTTCTACAGAAGAGAGAAAGCTAAAGAGCAAAATTGTCCTGACGAAATGCAATGAGTAACATTGAATTAGCAACAAAAACAAACAATGCAATGTATAACATTCATCATGTAATGGAGAAGTTTGTAATTTTTTAGAGGAAACCACAATTAATTTTTGAGGAATTACGTAAAAGACAAGGCAGACACTTAATTAGGCTACATAAATTGGTGACATTTTGGTAAAATTGTGCATCAAAAGTCATGGAATTTTTGCTCAAGTGGCTGAACTGACCTTTAGAGTGGAAGTATGAATGAGTGAAAGCCATATGTGAAGTCAATGCTTATGCGAGGTCAATAATTGTTTGTGATGGGGAAATTGGGAATGTTTGGTGACAGGACAAACAAAGAAACAGTTATTAATGGAATGTAATTTGACTTTAATTATAATTAAATATTTTACGTTATATCACAATGCTATTTCTTGAAGAGTGAACAATACGCACACTTTGACCATGGCCGACAAATTAAAATGACAAAACTGTTAAAATCCTTTTAAGAGAGATACCTAAAATCTACACGTATGTAAGTGTCACACAAATGGTGAAACTTTAAAGAATATTTTGCACAATTTCAAAAATTTTTTTGAGCAAATTCACTGTAACTAACCTGTAAAAAATATGTAATTCTATTATAGTCGTATTATGCAGTGATGCTCCGTGTCTTGGGGAGAATATTAAATCTACTACGCTCAAAACAGTTAAGGTTACACTGTGTAATTTCTCACATACCTTAACGTTTGGGGGTAGTAGATTTAACATTCTCCCCAAGACACAGAGCATCGCTGGTTGTATGTAGTATTTTTTCTAAAATTAGTTTAAGATTTGGTAGGACTAGAAATTATTCCAGGAAGAGAAGGAGTCTCGTATGAAAACACTACCGAAAAGAGATCTCCTCCAAACCGATTGGCCAACCACTTGTTCTTAATCACTGCCAACTTTATGACTTCACATTTAAACTTGGTGTAGAGATTTGTATGAATTGTTCGCCCCATTCCCTCTATAATTACGAGGTCTGTTTCCATTAACATAACTAGATTTATCAGGTCTTGCGATACTCGAGATAAATCCAGACATGGAGACGCCTGCCCTGTTCCTGCCAGTTTAAGTTGACCAGAATCCAATCCTTCGCGCAACCACTGTTGACTAACGGAGAGCTCTTGAAGAAGTCCAACCATTTCGGGATAAGTCATGTCGTTTACGGCAGGGCAGGAGTTTGAGCAAAGTATCACCTAAAAAAGTTTACATATTTCAATTTTCTAAACTATTACTATATTGAATTGTTAATAGACTTAAGTTTTATTAGCCCGTACTTACTTTTGTGCCTCGAGAAAGAAACTCTCGAACAAAGGGTAGCACACCCAGGACAAAATCAAAACCAGAATTATCCACAAAAATTGCCACACATTTATGAATTTTGGACGGATCTTTAAGTCGGTTTATCCATTCGTCTAAACGGTCGACGAGCCAAGGTCGTTTCTGAACCTTTGCTCTCGCCTCAGCAAAGCCAAACTGGTCTGGACCTTCGAGGAGGGAAGTAACCTCTCGAGCTCCCCAGTCGAACACGTTGCCAGCAAGGAACGAATAGATAAGCTAATGAATGCATACATTACGGTTACGATTATGTTCAAACCGGTCTTTCATTTAATTTTCTTAAATATGCACATACTTCTGCTTGGCGATCCTTCCACTTTAATTTGTCCAAATGGTCAAGTTGTAATTGCAGCTCGGAAACGGCTGCGGCATTTTCACATTGCTTTAAATTCCAGTATGGATCTGGGAAATCATACTCTCGCAAACTTTGCTCAAAAGTGTCCAATAAACTTCGAACGGTAAGAAGACCATATGCACAAGGGTTAGATTGTAAGTAGTTGAGACGAGATTTCAGTTTTTGTCGACAACGCAGAGCACGGTCTGTCGAGGTGGGTGAATCGGTTTGGCTCTCCATTGCAATTAGTGTAATTCGTTCAACCCAACCTGCAGGATATCAGTACTGATTATAAATTTTGTGGACTAATGACAACTAATTTTTTGTGATTGACTCACCTTGAAAGCAGGTTAACCAATAATCTCTCGCTTCAACTTCCTTTGTGAGGTCGACACAGTCAGGAAAATACTCAGAAGAGGAGCAAAGCAAAGGGAAGAAGCCAAAGGGTCGCTCCGTTCGATCGATCTCTAGCTGTTCGACATTAATTCGGAGAATATCACTAGATTTTTTCCTCGTCAACTTATGACCGAGACTGTTATGTCGAAGATGCAATTCTGGAGCAGTTGGGATCAGCTCTTCAAATTTAGGGATTTCTGTTGAAATAACCAGAAATTAGTATACATTGTATAACATTTCATAGTTTTTTAAAAAGTTTTATTGGTTTTATTTTACCTATTGTTGGTGACCGTTGATTATCCACGTGAATAAGACCAGAACTACTTCCAGCAAAGTTTTCTTGCCACGAGTACTTTTCACAGTCCAGTTCCTCTGTTCCTTTAAGGAATGCTCCAATTGCGCCAAGATATCCTTCATGTCGTAAAAAGAGCGCTTCCACCTCCCCCTTGCTCCAATACTTGATTGAATAACTAACAGCGTACATTGAGAGGGGATGATTTCTTAGAAAATAGCCACCAAAATAGATTCGCTTCAATCCATGTTGCAAAGCATAAAGGCACGCGATTTGCCCAATATCGTTGGAAATGGTGAAGAGAAGGGAACGAATAGCGTCATTAGGGTTGATATCATTCGGACCTTGGGCAACCGCTTTGCCAAACGACGAAGCAATTAAATCTCCAGGAAGGCCTGAGAACATGTCTTTTTATAATATTATACAAAGCTTATAGTTTGTGTCGATTTATTTCATTTACCTAATTTCGCGTAATCTCCAGCATAAATGTCTCTTACTAGCATGTCCACATTTCGATGATCGCCCTTCTCCGCCATTGATAACAATTCGTCAAATTCCGTCACGGATCCGCCGGTGAGGAGTGAACCCAGTCCCCAAAATGTTCCACCCCCTGATTCATATAATTATAATATTAGCTGAGATGCACCTTACAAAACTTGTCAATATTAAATATTTACCCGTCGCCGTTCCTCCAATCCGCTGATATTTATCTTCACCCTCGACCTTAAGAATACTGACCCCAGATCCAATATTGACCAGAAGATAGGGGAACATGACGGGGCCCGCTGATTGAAAGCGGTACTCGGGATTTTGCTTCCTTTCAAATACAAACGCTTCGTCGGGGACATTTTTCAAGAGAAAGTTTGCTCCTTGGATTAGACACGAGATTTCATCTTCTTTCTCCAAAGTGAGACCAAGCTTCTCCTGGATAAGTTGCGAATACTTGTAGCTCCCACCACCTATTTTACATTAATTAATTAATTAACCCGGGCTATACATAATTACAATTTTAAAAAACCTTAAAAATGTGACGAATTTTAAACTCACCTGTCGCCTTAATTCTTTTTCCCGTCGAAAAAACGCCATCCTCCTCCTGCTCCACTCTGGGAGCTAAATGTTTCTGAATAAAGTCCAAACATTCCTCAATAAATAAGGTTTCAAACTTGATAAAGTGAAGACGCGCCCCTTCCCAGACGTCATATTCGAACTCATTCCCCCCACTTTGCGACACCTGACTGGAAGATAAGTCCTCATCTCCAGATGTCGGACTGCTACTCGACGGTGGTGGCGGAGACGTTGGCGTCGCAGGAGGAAATGGCGACTTTGACCGTGACCTTATTCGTCGGTGTGAAACTGTAGAAAAATATGCAATTTTTGTAAGTGAACCACCAATGTCAATGGCAAACCGTTTCGCGTTCTTCAAATTGCGGAACAGCGTTTCACTCGTGGTGGGGTCGATGACGGGTTGATCCGTCGTTGATGATGACCCACCCCCCGACCTTCCTGACCCTTTTGGCGATTGGGAACGGATGGATTCTTCTGAGGCTTGATTTTGTGCAGCGAGTAGATTTATTGACTTTACGGGGCATAAAATTTCCCCTGGGGGTAATTCAGTGTCACCCATATTTGGTTTAAAACTTTTATAAAAATCCGTGCATGTTTTAATTGATAGTTTAACTAAATATTTACACACAATAGACACAGATCTGACTTCAGAACATGAATGTAAATACTATAGTATTTACATTCATGCTTCAGAATCAAACAAATCAGATGATGATAGTTTATTGACTTTTATCGCATGTTGCTTGTGCGTGGTTGTGTAAAGTTCACGGGTTCACGTGTAATAAGCTGAGCTAATCATGCATCACCTCATGATCACCTTTCGTAGGTTATCTTGACTCAAAAACGCTGAGTAAACCGTGTAAGTGTAAAATGACGAACATTTGCAAATACACAACTCGATTTTCAGCTCGCACGCTTGCAAATGACAGTTGGGCAATGTGCTAAAAATTTAGTAGCATATAAAATTAGAAACATTTTCATATGAATTTGCAGTGACTTGTACTATTTCATATTTGGAGGAAAATTCAGAAAAATCAATTTTTACAAAGGATGAAATAATTCTAGGCACGTACTTATAACGTTATAAAATGAACTACTTTGAAGCATGCATATTTACATACATACATCACCTAAATAAGTCTTTCTAATTTTTCGAGATTTATAAAATTCCAGTAAACAAAAATGTATTTTAAAAAGTTTTTCATCGACGTCAATAAACCTCAAAGTTTTTTACTTGACTCCAAAGGAGGAGACGCTCTTCTTCGTTATCTTCACGATTGTATTCATCTTCATAGTTGCGGTAACGCGGATCAAAAATGAACCATCTAGAAGGCAAAGATTTTAAGGGTCATTATGTAAACTTATGTTTTATATAATTTTATATCGTATTATTACAAATAAATCAGAAATCCTGGAATCGAAAGGGCTGCCGAGAGGAGGAACACTGAGCCAGGAAATGTTCCCACATATTCTGCATACATCCAACTGTAGAGGGGGATGAATGCGAGGGGTGCAACCGTCTCGAAAATCATCGTCAATGAAACCGCTTTCCCCACGTCGCTCTTGCCCACGATTTTGGATAACATTGACCTCGCAATGACGTACAACAGAGCATTTAACATATCCACTGCTGGAGCTGTTCGTAAAAAATTATGTAAGGATACGAAAAATATTGCGCACAATTCTGGGAGTGTTTCGTTTTTTGCATTGTAAAGCAAGAAATGCAAGGTGCAAGAAACTGGGAGAAAGTGCAAGAAAAATGCGCCATGTAGCGACGCGCCTTATTAAGTATAGCGGCGGAGCGTAGTTTCTTGCGCCTTGCATTTCTTGCAGTGCAAAATAGCTGCAAAAATCCACTTTCTCGCCGTTATTTCTTGCAAGTGGTTACTTTCACCCGAAACACTGAATTGTGACTATTTACTTGCCTATATAAATTGTGGTATGATTTATGGCGAACGCATATATAAAACAGGCGGCCAGTTGACTCCAGCCAGAAATGAAGCCGATGCATGGGTCGCTAGCTTGTAACCATTTGCTAAACAGCGTCATAGCCACGCTCATCCCGATAACTTTTATGACGTTGTCGTAAATGGAAAAGTAACCATATTCAACGACATCCCAACCCAGACGTTGACGCAGAAAAAGGTACAGGATGGAGGAATCGCCTAGAAAATAGTAAAATATTTATGTATCATCTTATTAGCTTTGTAAAAAAATTTCCAATTTTTGTACCATGAATTGGAGCCGCAGCCAAAATATGGAGAATAATTATCAACCAGATAACCACCTTGCCATACAACGACCTTGGTTTTGTTAAAGGTCTAAATACTTGACATAGTGAAGATCCTAAAAATCCGCACGTTGAGGAATCTCTTTTCATCTCTGATCGTTTCATTAAACTTGAATAGTTATTGTTTCTAAAATCTGATGGGGCCCAAGTTTTCTTCTTTAAACCAATTAGCACAATTACTAACGTAATCAGCGAGCAAATTAACGCGACTCCGAATCCGACTGTGTTCGGGTATTTCACATCAGATCGGATAATCAAATTCAACAGACCAAAGCCAACTAGTGCGCCCAGTTGATAAGCAGCACTGAACATGCCGGTACGAAAAGTACGTGACGAGAGGTTCGTAATGTCGCAAATGTGACCATAAGCTGACATAGTAAAACCTACTTCCCCCTAAAAAAAGGTACAATATCTTCATGTTTATGCTTCTCCCAGATCTCCCAGAGTATTCTCTCCGATTTTGATTAAATTAGTGTCAATCGATCACACAAATTAGTATGAAATTTGCAAAAAGACGCTATCTGCAAATGCTCAGGTTTAGAAATATTTGCATCAGAAGTGGAGAAAGCACATCCTAAAATTAACTTACACTTTCTAAATTTACCTACCCTTCGGATGCAAATATCTCTGCCAAACCTGGGCGTTAGTGGCTCATGCCGTTTGCAAAATCATATTTATTAAATTTGTGATCGGTTGAGACTAGTTTAGTCAAATTAGGAATTATTGTTAGTATTTAATTTTGTCAATTTCTTACGCCAAGAATAGAACTCGCCGCGGATGTAATTATGGCCAGCCAATACGGATCTATCCTGTCGTATAGCAAGGACCCAGCTAACATGCCGGCACAGGAGACCGTGTTTCCTACTACGGTCAAAATTAGTGGAGTTCGTCGCCCATTACGGTCACTCCATGGCCCCGCAATCAGAATGAATAGCAGTTTGAAGACGTTGTCCACAATTGAGGAGTATTCTTGTACGCTGGCGACAACTTCTTGAATTGCTATTTCCTCGTCTTCAAAAGACCCGTTACTAAAATTTAGTAAATTAAATTATTTAAATACGAATATGAAATTTATCTGATTATGTAATGGCACAAACTTTTTAACGATTTCGCTGCAAATTTCTCTACTATTATTTCTCGTTACGGTGCAGACAGATTCGATAAGCACGTTTTGCATAAGCGTCCCACTTAAGACGACAGAGATCATCATGAAAAAGCTGGCCGGCTCGATTGTCACGGATCGAAGTTTTTGAACCCATGATTTTAATTCTAATTTTTTATAGCTGCAGTAAATAGAATTTCATATCAATAAAATTGCATAATTCAAAAATTATTTACATATTTCGTATATTGCTGTTACCTCATTTTTATTACCTCATTTGCCCACTTTTTCCCATTCCAGGCCAAAATATTCTCCTCAGTTTTGTGTTGTTAGTTATATGAAATTAAATGTTACACTATTTAATAGTGCTTAATCGCAAAAACTTAACCATGTGATTTATGCAAGTGATGCTTATCATTATGATATTAGGAGGTGACGATAGCAAAATATTAATGAACTTTAATCATGCAACGATGCTTATCTCATTCATTCATTTATGCGATAAAACAATAGATCTGCACAGTGAACCGAGAAATTATGGGCAAGTTCATGATAAGTATGAAACGTATTTATTTCCATCACTTTCATAGTTGATAATTCATTACTTTTCGTCTTCTAATCTAAAATTCTCGACAACCGACAAAATTTCGTGTCAGTCAGGATGAGGTATATTAGTTAATTGTTTGTTGGTTGTGTTAAAATAACGTTAATTATTAAATAAAAACAAGGTTTAAAGTACTCATGTACGAATAATGATTGTTATCAGTCCATTATGTTTTCGTTTTTTTGGAGCACAATTATTCTCCAAAATTGATCAGATCAGTATAAAATAGGTTGAAATATCACAATATCTTCTATTTAGCAACTAGTAAAATGTCGACGTGTAAAAATAGTTCATTAGAAAAAAATGATGGCAGTTTTGCTAAAATTTTGCATGCATACTTAATTTGGCCAGATAGTTGATTGATACTAGCAAGTTATTAATCAGTGTGGAATCCAAGATTGGTGTGACCACCGTCAGAAATAATTCCATTTTTTTTCTTGGTCGGTTCCGCACCACTCGAAGTTTGCACGTTGGGTGGCAATGAGGGCTGGTCACAATTTTCCTCGATTGGATTCTTTTTAGAGGTGCGATTTTTAATAATGAACCACCTGCAAGCACGTCAATGTCAAAATCAGTGATATTTAGTCACATGCAAGCATTAATTTCTAGTCAATTATTCAATTATTCCTTACAAGTATATAATTTGCGGCGGAACGGTCAGTGCCGCCGAGAGGAGGAAGAACGCCCCCAGAAAATACCCGTTTTTCAGCGTGAAATGGAACAACTTGGAATACGTGGGGTCCATTGCGAGTGGTGTAAGCGTCTCTAGTATTGCAATTAGCGAGAAGAGTTTTCCAATTTCATTGTCATCGACAATTTTTGACAACATGCTTCTCGAAATGACGATCATTGTTCCATTCATCATATCGATTGTGGAAGCTGAAAGTTCATTTCATTTATTTTTTATTAATTAGTTAGTAAGTAGGTTAATTTAGGGTTATGTGGTAAATTCTAACCAAGATAAATCATGTATCCACAGCCAGTGCAGATAAAAGCGTACACAAGACTCCCAGCCATTTGACTAATGCCTGCAATAAAGCCGACCAAGGGATCCGACAACTTCATCCATTTAGAAAATAGTCCCATGGACAAAACGACACCTGTCATATATGCAAAAAAGCTTAGTTTCCGAGTAAGAGACGCCACGCTTCATATTTATATTTGTGCACACACCTGCCACGCCGATGAGCGTGTTCACACTGGAAAAGTACCCATATCTGCTCGCATCCCAGCTCAGCTTGCTCGACACGTACATGAAAATAACGCCAAACTCGCCTATATAAAGGAGGAAGAGGGTCACTCAATAGCTCAGTCTTGGCGTGACCATCGACTCACTCACCATGAATCGGAGCTGCCGCGCAAAGGAAGGCGACCAGCAAGAGGATAAATTTTATCCTTCCAGAATTCTCGCGTTTTCGAAATGGTAGTGAGACCACCTTGAATAAAGTGTTTTTCGGATTCAGTACATCTCTCCACGTAGGATTCGGCCCCAAGATGTCTTCCTCCTCCGCGTTTTTTCCACCGGTGTCGTCATCCCGATCACCTTTCTCCACCCTCTCCAGCGCTAACCGGTCAGCCTTTGTCAAATTGTCAGCCCTGAAGAGAAGGATCAGCAGTCCCGTGGTGACGAATGCGATCGAGATGGCGAAACTGGCGGTGTTGGAGACATTCTCGTCGGCCAGAAGTCCTCCCAGAGAGAAGCCGCAAGGGACTCCGATGGTGTAGGCGGCACTGAGCAGACCGCTATAGATCAGAGAGACGTAAGTTTATAAATACGTATTTTTGAGTAGTTTTAAGGTCTTCCATCCACAGAATTCAAAATTTGGAAAATTACGATTTACGCACATGTATTTTTGAAAAAATTACAAAAAAAATTCTCTCTAACCTTCGAATCGTTCGACTTTTATGCGTCGTAATGTCGCTGATATACGCATAGGCGGCCATGGCGTAGGCAGGTTCGCCCTGAGAAGTCCGTAAAATAGATACAATTTTAATTATGAAGAATAAACGCTGCCAAATTTTTATTATTCGTTCCCCCCCGATAAAAAATCGATTTCATTTTCGTACCCCAGTAACACTTCTTGGCAGGGAAGTTAAAATGTTCATGGTGAAAGGGTCTGCAGAATCGATGAAGAATTGGGCGCAGATTAGGTAGGCTATTGACTGCACGATGTACCCCACGAATGGGATGATTAGTGACAATTTCCGTCCATAGTGGTCACTCCATGGCCCCATAAAAATTACGTAGATCACGGGAAAGGAATGGTCTAAAATACTGCGGTAGATCTTCGTCTCGGCGAGAATTGTGTTGATCTGTTCGGTATCATTTTTGTAGGTTTCATTTCTGAAATTATGTAAAATTTTCATATGTATTTTCAGGTTCTTTTCCAAATTCATGAACAACGGACATACTAATCAATTCATCAATGGACGTATGCAAATACTCAGTACCTTATCGATAAATAAGTGTAAGCAAATATTTGCAGACATATTTTTGATAACAATTTGCAAACAATAACATTTGGTTAATATGACGCAGAGGCTAAAAAAATTGCATATATGTAAGTACATATGTAGTAGTTGGTAGTTTCGTTAGTTAACCTTAGGTTGGTCGTGAACTTGCATAATACGCATATGTAATCAGGATCAAGATCATGATGCTCAATTTTATGTATGTATTTGCTTAACAGGTTGCTGACGAGGTTGGTGAACCGTGTTTGATGAACATGTCATGCAAAATTTTGGCAAATCCACAAAAATTAAGAGCAACATTCAAAATGAGAACAAGGTTATAGAGACAGATTTCCAAATGCATATTTCTGCTAAGAAAAAATAAATACATTTTTAGGAAACTTACGCCTTTATGATTTCTTTGCAGACGTCATGGTCCAGTTTGAGTCTAACTCTGCAGATATTTTCCACCATGACGTTCTGGAAGGTGAGATATGACATGAGGACTGATGTCATCAAGAGCAACGATGCTGGCTCGACGGACGCCTGGATCATTAATCTTCCACATTCTGCAACCTTTTCCTGGAAAGATTTCTTGTCCTCGACTTTCTCCAGAGATTGCAAAGATTGCGATTTTCCTTGGTGGTCCATATTTTATTTAATAAGTTACTGTAAAAATTTGTAATTCAACTGTTTCTCACTTTCACGACACACCTGCAAATTTTGACTAGATAAGGCAAAGTGTTATCTGAATGTTAGAGTCACATGTCTGCCGTATAACTGATCCCATTGAAAAGTTGTAAAGTAATTTATTCCATTTTTTATCCAAGCAGACGGGAAACAGTTGATTTTATTTAATGTCAAGAAACTTCTTGTTATTAGTTTTCTAAAACCCGTTTGCCTTGCCTTGCATTGAAGGAAGTCTGACTGAGGAGATGTCTAAAAGTTTGTAATCTTGGGAAGAGCAGAGCGATATTTTTATTTACACAGTGAATCACGTATTTCTTTTCACCTAGAAGTGTAATTAGTCTAAATATTTGTTTTATCCGCAGCTACACGGTGCGTTATGTTATGTCAAATAAAAATTAAAAACAAACAAAAAAAATACAATGGTTTAATGTCTTTATTGAACGAATGCATGCTGACAATCCAGCATCCTCGACTCGAATGAAAAAATTGGTAGCATGTTCCCTGGTTTTAAAGTTTAAAGTAGTTAATAGTTTAGTTAGTGTGCAGAATTTGATGGGCATGTGCACGAATCTGAATGAAATAGTGCATCATGATGATCATTAAGACCACTTGAATATACTTTTGACAATGATAAGCAAGTCCTGTCCGATCTTTGCATCGTATTATCGAAATAATAAATGCGTACACGGGCAGGGTCGGAATGTGCATGGGAAGTATGTGTATGCTACAGAGGTCAAATCAATGTAAATTGTGGGCAGATTGCAATATTTTCGTAACATTTTTGGAGTAAACATCGTCTCGTGGTTATCTGCATGATGCGATGACATTTGCGATTTACATATGTACCTGTTAAAGAAATTGACAGAATTGAGTCGCTTGTGAGAAGTTAATGAAATGACGGACGGATGACATTGCGTTAAAGTCTGGGATCTGCTATTCCATCTCGGCATAAACTTTATCTAATCCTCGACTCTGTTGTGGTGAACTGAACTTTGTGAATTGAATGCATGCAAGGAATGAAAGCATGACTATTTGTAATGGGATAATGAACTGAGGTGAATATGAATTACCTGCTCGCACATTAAGTTAAATATTCTTCATTTATGTAAGTAGTTAAATCCATTGTTGAATTCAATCAAAGTTATAGCAGAAATTTTTGGAGTTTGGCAGATTTGACAGGAGTTTTAATGCTTTCCTCGTCTGTACAAGTGGGCAAGTGTAGGTATTCAATCCAGTAATAATAGCAATACATACATACATAAGACCCACACGTCGTAAAAGTAGTAATATATTCCAAATAAGTTTATTACTTATTGTGTGAATCTCATTTTTGCCATTTGAACTCTCATTTCATCTCACTGCATGGATTTAAGTCGTGCTAATGCATGTACCATATGAAATGCAGGCTGGACTTGACTGGACGCAAGGTATTTATACTGCCTGCATGTGTGAACTGTGAATGGGACAGAGTACAATGCACCTGTCCATTACATACAATGAGATGATGAATTATATAATGTGTAAGTAAGAATAATGTGGGGGATGTGGCAGTGTCGGGAGGATTGTAATTTTGCATTAATCAAACACTTGACCGAGACGACGGAGAGGACAGCATCGACGAGACGAGAGATGATGAGAGTGAGAGAATTATTTTTACAAGGTCTTTTACATAGATTTGTGCATATGTATTTAGTTTGTTACCGAATCCCTGAACAAATGATTACTCTAGCTAATAAGTATGTTATCAAATCTGTTCTAACAAAGTTCTGCTGTAAGTCTAGGATATAAATAGATAAATATATGCAAATAAATAATTTCAATTTCTTAACTATGAGATTCAAAAATTCGACACGCGCTTACTTTCACTTTGGTAATTGACGCCTGGACATAAAATTTTCATTGGATTTGGTAATTTCCACATGTGGGTTTGTTGGGACGCTTTTCGGGTGAATTTTTCTTCCACAAGAACCAACTGCAGGAGATAAATCAACAATATTCATTTGACTTGTACCCTTGTCACGAAATTAATTGTAGAATCGTACATGAAAATGAGTTGTGGTGGGACCGTAAGTACGGCGGAAAGGATGATAAACGACCCCGAGAAGGTTGCGACAGTCCAGCGATACACGGCCGAGTAAAGTGGAACCGTACAAAGCGGTGTTAACACGTCTAAAATAGAAATTAGCGACATGAGTGTCCCAATTTCACCTGGTAGGACAAGCTTGGACATCATGGACCTCGACACCACGATCATCGTTCCGTTCATCATGTCCACGGCGGGGGCTGAAATGTTAGTGGCAAAATTATGTATGCAACTTGGTCAGGAATTTGTCTAAAATGTGTAAAAAATAAAAATATATATTTACCTAAATACATCATGACCTTATTAATGGCTACAGCATAGAGAATGCATCCACCAAATTGGCTAATTCCTCCAAGAAATCCGACCATTTGATCGGATAGTTTTAACAATTTTGAGCATATTCCCATCGAAAGTATGACTCCTACATAAATGAGAGAAAGATTTACTTTCAGGATTTCTGAACCTGTTTTCACTTCAACTTTCCCATGTCAAATGATACAAAAAACCAACCTGCCACAGAAATGAAGGAAGGGTACGTGGAAAAGTCGCCATATTCGACCGCATCCCAATTTAGTCTTTCTCGGAGAAAAACATACATCAATGGAAATTCACCTGATATCATTATAATAATTTAGTCATTTTCAGATGCATAGAATTTCGCATTTCTAGCTATGTAGACTCATCACCAAAAATCGTCTACATCAACACATACATATTTAATCATTCCTCAGCTCTGGAAATTTATTTTAAAATTCTGGACGACAAGCTTGTAGTCAGTAAGTTGAGTTTTTTATATGAATATCGCCAGCAAGTCATAAGTTCCAATTTCTTTGAAGACTTAAACTTAAGATCTCATCAGTCAAAATCAGTGAAAATATGGGATGTATATTTTTTTAATTGGGAACGCCCTGCTCTACAAATTTGCCATCTAGAATTTTAAAACAAATTCCTAGAGTCGAGAAATGATTTAAAACGTGATCATTTTGACAATTTCGGCGATGAGTCATCGAGTCGAGTCCTATATTAAAGTATGTACATACCGTGATATGGGGCTGATGCGAATGTAAAAGCGATCAACAGCAACCATATCTTTAGACGGTCGTAATCTTCTCGTCGCCTAAACGGAAAGCGTAATACTTGATAAAAATTATTCTTCGGGTTAATCGCGGCCAAAAGTCCGGGAACTTTCTCCGATTTTTCTCCCATTTTCAGTTCAGATTCAATATTTTCTTCTTGCTGGTCATTCTGAGAGAGATTAGTATTTCTTTTTCGTTCCGAATATTCGACGTCCTTCACCCTCAAGAAGACTATGATGACACCGACGGCCCCAATGACAGCAGAAATCCAGTAACTCTTCGAATATCCCCACCCCCTCCGAATAGACTGCCCAGCCAGCGAAAATCCTATTGGGAGGCCGAGATTAAAGCATGCGAATAAGATTCCGAGCCGTACCGTTCTCGTGTAACTGTTCGATATGTCGCAGATATAACTATTTGCACTCATCATGAGTCCAAACGTGCTCTGTAATCATTTTAATAAATTAGTTTCATTATTGAATATTAGGGAATCCAAAATCAGTTTTTCACATTTTGTAAAACCGGTTTTCGATTTAACCGAAAACTGATGTTACAATTCTCAAACAAACCAGTCTTGTAAAAAAACCGGTTCTAAATTTGTTCTAAAGACGGGTTTTATATACCCGAAAATCGGTTTTCCATTTGTAATAAGACAAACTGTTTTGGACCTAATATTTAATATTTCTTATTGGTGAGATAAGAATCAATGGTTATGAAATACCTTATTCCCAAATTTATATTTAATTTTAATTTTGTATTAAATTTTAGCTTGACATACTATATTTCGAAACTTTTTTTAAAATTAGCCCTAAAATCGGTTTCACACAGAATCTAAAACCGCTGTACCCAAATTTTTTAAAACTGGAATAATCGAAAACCGGTTTTTCAAAATCTTCCGATTTTGGATACCCTATATAATGAATATCTGCAGCATTTGTACTATGCGGTCTCACCCCCATTAAACATTGTGGAATTCCTGCCAATAGCATGAGAAGAACAGGATCCATCGTATACATCCTGGAGGAGAGAAAATTCGTCAAAATGGGATAAGTCATCCATCCCAGGGTGCTACAGAGGAGGGGGATCTTCCTCCCGTAGTGGTCACTCCATGGCCCCACAAACATTATGAAGATTAGTGGTAAAGCATTATCTAGGATGGCACGATAGGTTTGATTTTGACTAAAAATCTTTTGAATTTCTACTTCTTCATCCGCAAATGTCTCATTTCTGCAGAAAATATTTAATTTACAATGGGGACCCAAACCATGTTCAATCCAGATTATTTTTTCAGCACCTCAGTTTGAAGCATCAACTCTTTAGTAACATTTAGTATGGAACTTGCGCAGATTAGCAAAATTCAGAGCGTTATTGGTGCCGCAAGTTCGCGAAAAGCTCGATTTTCGAGCGGAATCCCTACCTTGCGGCGACTTTTTTCGCATTAATTCCTCGTGAAAACCAAGCCTTCTCGCTAATTTTCGGCACCAATAACGCTCTGAATTGTGCCCACGTGCGAAGTTCCGCACTAAATATTTTTTCTAAAGAGTTGGTCCTTCAAACTGAGGTGCTGAAAATATAACCTGGGTTGAACATGGTTTACTCCCCCATTGTAGTACACTAATTTAGACTCAATTCATATGAATTTGCACAACCAATATCCTCTTACACTTTGACAATCTCTTCGCATATGCTGCCAGAATTGTTTCTGTCGACGAGACAGATATTCTCCAGGTAGAGATTTTGACTGATTAGATGCGTCATTAAGCAGGACGTCATGGTACAAAGGATGGCCGGCTCTACGGAGATAGACTTCAAAATAGGGATCCATTTGTGACGAAATGTTCCCTTCTTCGTTTCAGAATTTTCCGAAAATTGGGAAAGTTTCTCATTCAACGACATGTTTTAAAAGCTCTCTCTTATTAATGCAACTGACCGTTGTCTGAATATTTAGTAATGCCATTTAAAGATTTATTTAAATAGGAGCTAATTTATTTATTGTTAACAATTATATCATTGATGAATATGTAGATAATCGGTAAAAATCGCTTCATAATTTTGTGATAACCTGTTCTGAGAATCGATTTGCGTCCATGATTAAAAATTGCATGTCTGATGGCATGATATAAATATTATATCGTATTTATGACTTAAACACAGTACTAAATTATTGTATAATTTGTATTATATTGTAAAACAGTTGAATGCTTAGTTTCAGATCGAATGACCTGATTAGCGTGAGAACTATTACCCACTTGTAATTTTCCAGATAATAACGTATTTAAAATCAAGCCTTACGATTAGATCAACTATAATAGACATTATGTGAAAAATTGTTGTGTCCATTTTCTGTAATTTTATCAGAGTCTGTAATTTATGAAATTTATGAACAGTTTCTGAGTATCAAGCATCCATTACTCCCATTAATTAAGTATTTGTACAAGTCTATGATTAATCCTTAACATTAAGCATTATTTATTGTTAAAACTTATTGCATTTTTTAACTGCGCGTTCAAAACTTCCCCGAGTATTTATTTACTTATGTGTTATGGTAGGTACATGGATTTAATATGGAAAGCATTTAAAGCAAAGTAATTATATTACCATTTGGATAAATATTAAGCTCCACTTTCCCCAAATTTCCCATTTTTTGAAACTTTGTGGCCAAGTCTATTGTTCCCCTCTTGTCCAATTGCCTCCTGTTCGTGTCCCTTCTTGTTACAGATAAACCACCTGAAATAAAAATCATTACATATAAATTTTCAAACTATGAAAAATGAATCAATACAATAAATAGCGTGTATTCTAACATGTAAATAATTTGTGGTGGGATGGTCAGAATTGCAGACAAGATGATGACCGAGCCAGAGAAAGTTTGGACCGTTAAGCCATACACGGTCGCATAGACGGGAATTATTCCGAGTGGGATGAACGACTCAAGGACGGCAATTAGTGAAAATAGTTTGCCAATCTCGTCCCGATGGACAAGTTTTGACAGCATCGAACGTGCAATTACGACCATCGTTCCGTTCATTAAGTCCACCGTGGAAGCTGGATTGGAGAAGAAGAAAGTTAGAAAAAGTACTTGCACGCATGGACGTATACTTGAAATAATTAGTATTTACTACTTGCCCAAATACATCATTGCAGCATTTGTCGCCAGAACGTAGATTAGACAGCCACCCATTTGGCTCATTCCGGAAATAAAGCCTACGATAGGATCGCGAAGTTGCATCCATTTCGACAGAATACCCATGGACAGGGCAACACCTAAAAATTGATGAGAATTTCCGAAAGGTACTTTAGTATTCATTGTATTAGTTCAGTTTGGATGTACCAACCGGAAACTCCAATGAACCAATTGAAGCTGGAGAATGACCCAAATGCAACCACGTCCCAGCCGAGTCGCTCCCTTACGAAGAGATAGAAAACCTGGAATTCTCCTAGATAAATATTTCAAAATTCAAGTTACAATTTCTATATTTTGCCTTTTACCACTCACAAGGAGGTCTCCCAGCGTATGCGTTCCAAGTTTGGTCAAACTAGTGTCAATGCAGTCACAAATTTAATTAATATGAAATTACAAAGGACATTATCTGTAAATGCGCAGGTTTGGCAGAGATATTTGCATCCGAAGAGGAGAAAATGTGCAGGAAAGTGTAAAATTTGCCGACTTTCTCCTCTTCAGATACAAATATCTCTGCCAAACCTGCGCATTGGAAGATCATGTCGTTTACAAATCAAATTTTACACCAATTAAATTTGCGATAGATTGACACTAGTTTGACCAAAATCGGAGAGCATACGCTGGGTACGCTAATAATAATAATAACGGATACGCTAATCTCCATTGTGAAATTCTCTCTATTTTTGATGTACCATGAATTGGTGCCGCTGAGAAGATAAAGGCCAGAAGTAAGAGTAAAATATTCATCCGTGCATTTCCCTCCCTCCGTTTAAAGGGTAGTGCAATCACTGAAATAATATTATTCCGAGGGTCGATAATGCTCCAACAAGTCGGATTACTTTCACCCGACTCTCTCTTTTTTGAGACGATGCCACTCCCCGAATTCCTCATTCTGTCAAATTTCGTCTCGTTTTTCACCGTCAGCGCCACAATCACGACGGCCGAGAGAGAAAAGACGACAGAAATGGAGAAGCTTGTCGAATAAGATAATCCCGATCGGGCAGCCAGACCAACCAGGGAGAAACCGAGGGGTACCCCGAGTTGATAACCCGCATTCAACATTCCCGTCCTCACGGTGCGATATTTGTGATCAGTTTTGTCGCTAATGTAACTGTAGGCTGCCATTCCGAATGCGACCTCGCCCTGAGATAACCAAAAATTAGTTTTGCCGATGAGTTCTGATAGTTGTGAATGAGTTGAAGATGAGTTAGCCTTATTATCTGTATAACTAGTCACCAACTTGTGCAAAATAGAATTTTTAAGCATTTTGTACACTCAGATAAATTTGGGATGAAATAGGTAGTAAATAAATAACTAAAATGCAAATTGATAATTTTTAGGCCAGCTCATACGCTCATTAACAGTTCCGACTCAAAATCAAAAAGTTAATTGTATTTTTATGAAATTTGTACTATTTCATCCCGAATTTATTTGAGAGTCCAAAATTACTTTAAAATTCAATTTTGCACAAGTTGGTGACTAGTTGTAACGTCCCTTCAACTCATTTAAAAACTCTTCGGCAATACTATGCATTACACCGCTTTCGAAAAATTTTAAAACTTTTTTTTTGCTAAATTGTATACCCACCCACCCCGGTCAGACAGCGAGGAATAGCAGTGATAAGGTTGACCCAAAGTGGGTCCATCGTCCCGACATGGAATGAACAGTAGAGTGAGACCATCGCATACAATGCTGTCCCCGTCGACGTGACCAACAGAGGAATCTTTCTCCCATAATAATCACTCCACGGACCCACGAACAAGACAAAAATTATGGGCAAAGTAAAGTCCAAAAGGACCCGATAACTTTTATGGTAGGCGAATATTTTCTGAATTTCTTGCTCCTCTTCGGCATAGGCAGGATTCCTGAAAATATTTACAAAATAATTTATAAAATTTCGAAATTCTTTCTTCTTAAAAAATCACTTACACGCTCACAATCTCTCGACAAACTTCTTCCGAATGGTTGCGCCCAACTCGGCAGATATTTTCGATGAACAAGTTTTGAAAGAGGAGGTACGTCATAAGGTTTGACGCCATCATGCACAAGGCTGCAGGCTCGACGGACACGGAACTCAGGACTCCTACCCATTCTCGTACCTTTGCTTTCACCCTGTGTTGCTGTTCGACTTCCGGTGGGGGAGATGAGACCATTTGGTCGGCCGCCTTATCTTTCTCAGCAGGTGGCGAGAACATGATGTTTATCGACACCTTGCTCTGTCGTGAAACGTCTTATTACTGCTCGACACTGTGATTGACATTGACAGTGACGGAGGAGTGAGATATGTATGAACATGCATATGCAGATAAAAGCATTGAAATGCTGTATGTATGTATGTATGACGAGCAGTGGCCGCGGAAGCCGTGGGGACATTAACATTGTAGGATGGGGGAGGGACGGGTTTATATCAAATGGGGAGATGATGCGGACATCGAACAACCGTGGGGACATTGTCCCTATGTCCCCTCAAGCTTCCGCGGCCACTGATGAGGAGACTGTATGGGGATCTATTAATGTAATGCATACGTTATAAATAGGTGCGACTTGTTTCCACATAAATCTCGTCCATGTCATAATAATTTTTATTAGGAGAGGCTGGACTGGACTGGACTGGAGCTGAATTGAGGTTACGACATTATTTTGGCTACTTAATTGATAAATACATAACAAATATTCCACCTTTGTTTTCTGATGCCGCTATTTAATGACTCAACTCCCGTTTTAGGCTGAACTATTATCCTAGATTTTTTGTATCCCACGATTCCCACGGCTTCGATAACGTTGAGACGACACGGTAAATATTTTCGGGGTGGAAAATTCCAGACGGAGTGACATAATTTCATCCCCATTAAATTCCAAATTCCACTCTGGAATTAGGAAGTAGTGATGAAAACGGTGTTGGCCATGTTAAAGCATGAAATTACGTAATTGAGACATTTGCACATGCATAAAATGTGTACCAGGAAGGGAATACTATTGGGCGTCAAATGTCAATCTGAACGACGGGAGGGGAACAAGGTTTAAATAATTAGAGTACATTTTTAATAATTAAGTATGATGATCTACTTGGATTATGGCCAAAATATTTAATTATGCACTTAATACCATAATTTAATTAAAGTGTGACAAATAGTTAGAAAATATTATGTATGAATGTGTATTTAGTTGCTTAATCACTTTCATATTAATAATTAGATAAGGAGACTCAAACTAACTGTGTGAACTGGTCAAAAAGCACGGCCAGTTGAGCACACTATGAAAATTACTGCGTGAACCTGTCAGTTTAAGTTGAAGGTTATTTTACTTCGTGATATTGAGAAAATCTCATATATTTTATTTATACGAGAGAAATGATATGTATGAACGCATATTATGGGTTAAATATGTATGATTAAGATAAATACCAAAGTCACCCTCCTGTCAAAAACTGAAAATATTTTATGTCTTTTATGTATAAACTATTTAAAGAGAATCGTATTTAGCTATCGTAAATAGTAAAATGAATTAGATTTTTCTGCAAAACTGTGTCAATTTATTCCTACCATTTTACTTAAATACGTACAAAAAACTATGCTACTAAATATTAACTCTAATTACGTAATAACTTATTAGCTATAATAAATACTTACAAAAATTAACTTATAATAAATAACAATACTCTCTAACTAAACTGAAATAATGTCATCATCTGAACTATAATTCTTCGCTTGTTCCGCTTCCCTGCCTAAAACGACGTCATCATAATCCGACTCCAGCAAGTTTGCGGTCGAGTTGTGGACGGGAGGCAGTGTGGGACACGCCCTGTTCCAGGGCTGCTCATCCGCCGACGCGAACAAGAGAAATACCAACGTGTCCACAAAGTAGACTGCGGCCGCGATGTAAAACACGATCTGCCACCTTTCCAACGTGGCCTTTTTTAAAAAGTGGGACAATTCGTAATAAGTTTTAAACTCTAATTAAGTAATAATTTCGACAGTTATTTACATTTCCATTGATCAACACTCCGGCGACGTAAGGACCCAAAAATCCTGAAATGTTTGCCACCGTGTTCGTCACACCCATCAAAATGCCGGCATGGTTTGACGCAATGTCGATGTGGTTAACGCCAAAGCCGCCGAACGCGGCCCCATTTGCGCCACCCGCTATGGTGAGGAGGATCACGGTCATGGTGGTGTTGCATCCTGAGTAAGATGCTCCGATGAGGGCGAGGGCACCACCGATGTGGGCTGGAGAAAAGGAAATGAATGACAATTAATTTTTTTGTGTGAAAATGGGACTGGGTTAAAAATTATCGTGATGCAAATTTAACTCACAGATGACTTGACACGCCTTCCTGACGTTGACCGTCGCCAACCATTTCCTTTTAATGAAGACGTCGGCCATGGGTGGAATTATGAAGCTGGTCACGCACATCAGAGCGTACGGCATGGCAGACATCCAACTGTTCTGCAGGGTTTAGAAAGTTTGGGTTAAAAATTTATGGACATCTTAAGAAATTTTGATATGCAAATTTATGTAAATATGTATGTACCTGTTTAATGTCAAAGTTGAGAATGGTCTTCATATAAGTTGGCAGTTCGGTGAGCAGTGTGTAAAGTCCCCACTGAGAAAAGGTTAAGATTTAATTGGTTACTTATGTATTGCACACAGATTATAATTTTACTGTATAATTTTATTACCGTGTGTCCCGTATGAGCCACAATGATAACCCAGAGTGGAAGTGAAGTAGCCATTTTTTTCCACGGCGTGGGTGGTTTGACCTGAATTAATTATGAAATTTGTATTTATACGCGTCGATTTAGGTATGAAATTGTGTTATGGATGAATTTTGTACCTTTGACACTTGATCTCCAATCGACCTCTGAATATAGTACAGTTCATCGCTCCCAACTCGTGGATGTTCTTCCGGGGAGTCGAAGACGAATACGACCCAGAGCACGAACCACGCCAGGGTGAGAGCTCCTGAACAAATGAAGACGGAAGGCCACCCCCCAAATATATTTTCTTGGATTAGATATCCGCTCGCAATCATAATTCCTGCAGTCCCAAAAGAACAGCCAGAGTACGTGATACCTGTGCAAATATACGTTTCGGAATGAATTTAATAATGAAACTAAAATGATATTTTTGATATTTTTTTTGTCGGAAATTGCAAAAAATTAAATTAAATTAAATTACTTGCAAGAGTTCCCCGTTCAGCGGGGGGAACCCATTTACTGAGAAGACTGTGCATGGCAGGTGTGGTTAGACCCTGTCAAACGACACAAAAATTTATGACTAATGTTGGTCACATTTAATGCTTAAATATGATGATTACCTCTCCAAAGCCTTGGATGACTCTGGCAGCAATGAGGAGTCCAATATGTGCTCTTTAATAATGAGGAAAAATTATAAAAATTCAATTAAATACAAAAATTTCCACTGAAATGTTTGTAATTTATGTAGATTTTTCAGAATTTACTTTACCTGGCCATGATTGGGGTCAATAAAGCGAAAACCGCAGTGATCAAGAGACCCAGCCCAAGAGGCCATTTGCCTCCATATCTGGGCAAAAAATTCTCAAGTTATTCATATCATTCCCAATTATCCTATATTATTATGGCCAATTAAATATTTGCATACATACTTTTGTGCAATTATTCCCCCTGGAAGTTGTGTACACATATACCCCCAGAAGAAGCTGCCCAGGATGATACCTTGTTGGACTTCGTCCCACTCAAATTCACCTTCATCGGATGATCCACCCGCTGCCGGGTTGGAGTTAAGTCCGAAAAGTCCGGAAGTATGGACCGGAATTGGGCACGCTTTTTCTGCCGAGAATGACTTGTTGTTGTACGTGTAGTGAGAAGAAGATAGGAGGAGGTCGTCGTGATGTAGGGAATTATTTAGTGGTGGAAGCACAGGAATCGGAATGTTGGACGAATTACGCTTCACCATTGCTACGATTGCAATGCTGAGATTAAATCGCATCGCGTAGGACATGGCGAAACCCCAAAAGCCGAGGAAAACGACCAAATGTCGAATTCCCCATCCTAAAAAGATGATAAGAATTATATGATAAGCATAAAAAATTTGCAAATAAATAGCTTACCCTCAGGTTTATTTAGCGACGACGGCTTTATCGAGTCTTGTGGAATCATTTTATGTGTGAGTTGAACTGAACCTGCTAATCTGCTGCAGAGATATTGCACTTTCACTCGCGAATTATTGACTGCTCAAATGTCTACCAAGCCACATCCGTTTTAAATAAGATTAGGACTGCAATTAAAGTCAAGATTGGCATCATGCCTGGCACCACGCACAGTAGCAGCAGAAAGTCCAGCAGGATTCAATGCACTTGGCCTCTTTTAACTTTATTGCAAGTAAAGTTATCCTCATTCATGAGTTTCTGTAAGAGTTAGGTCATAATTATTTTGTGCAAAAATGGTAGGCACACGAGCACATATTTCGTTCGGGTATCGTGATTTGCATCACACACCATCATCCCACAATCTAAATCCATACTTAACACAGATCGACCATGATAAGTCTTCATGAACATGATCGTCATCATTTTGTATTGGGTTGACCTTAGCATAATATTAAATCGATGAACGAGGACGACATTGACCCACCAGAAAAAGTCACTTTAAGCAATCAATCAAGTGAGAAATCCCATCCCACGAAATAAATGTTAAGTAATAATTAATGAAGAAATCCGGACTTTGGTCACGGTTTCAAAATAATGCGCAATATTCATTTTTTTAGCAATTAATTAAGAGTTACGACATCTTCCTGTTAAGATTAGTGGCGTCTTATGACGATTTTGATAAGAGGATACCCAACATAATAAGTTTAATGAACTTGTTCAAATCGGAATTAATCATAAATCAAAACACATAACAGAAGATAAGCACACATAGTAAAGCTGCAATGCATTCATTGCAGTGGTACAAACATTGTGAACCAATTTGTTAAGATAAGTTCTTATATTTAATGGTCATCTTGGGGGAACGTGCAGAACGGCCTTCCTTTTAATCAGGATTTAGCTGGATAGCGCAGAATTTTGTATGAGTTTGAAGAATGATGAGATGAATGGACGCCTTTGTCCGTGGTCTGGTCGTTTAATTAAGCGTTAAATTGCTGGCTTGTTAGGGTATGACTGAATTTGATCGAGATGTAAAAATGTAATGATAATTAATTAAGTAATTAATTGGTTATGCAGAGATCATTCAGTATGTACATATTTACTACCAAGTACCACCAAGACATCGTCGAGGTGTAACTTATTTCCATGTCTAGACTATTAAATTAGCTTGTTGTGGTATTTCTGACATTATTAACGATATTTACATGGTCAAACTGTTTTCATATGTATGCAAATACCAAATATTTAGCATTTTGCGGTACTGGAATGACCCATGATCAAATTTTATCACTGGAATTGGGGTCATTTTCATAAAAGTTGTCTTTGCCGTGAAGGATGTCTAGGAAAATGAAAGTGTATAATAAATTAACTGGATGAAAGTGTGAATTCAGTGAAATTCATGGATTTGGGTTGAGTCCATGAAATTGACAGGAAGACAAAAAACCCGATCCGGGTATTTTGCCGTGTATGATGTCTCCATGCAACCCGTCAGCACAACAAATAGCAAAGCAAGACACATTGACTGACTAACTCACTCAACTTATTATTGACATGTTTTAAATTACTTGTACAATTAAACTCTTTCACTTTCATGTGGATTTCCTGAAAAAAATGAAGCTAAAGTTGACCTTGGACAACAAACCGAAACATTCCGACGTTGCGACAGGAGTTGCTTGGAGTACTGCGGACACTATATTTTCCTTAGGGTAAGAAAAGTCCAGCATTTATTTGAAACCATTAAACAACTATATTTTAATTATAATTAATTACCGTTCTGCCAGCGACGATCACCAACTCCTCCAATGGAACCTGGCCAAGAACGAGACGACCAAAGTAACGGATGTTTCTTCCGAATTATTCCCCACAGGGATGCAGTGGCCTCCGAAAAACGGTCTGGTCGGTGGAGTTGGCGGAAACGTTAGGAAAGGGACAGAACTTCTCCTTGTTACGGCGGCTGATGGTCACTTTCATCTTTTGGGGAGGGGTGGTCGTGCCGAGAAGAGTGTACAGGCACACAAAGGTTACACAGCTACTTATAATCAAGGTCACCCTTGATTATAAGTTATAAAGTTCCTAAATTATAAACACCCTATAAACATTACGACATGTGCAAAAGACACAATCTCCCAATGGTCAGGTTTGGCAGAGATGTTTGCATCCAAAGAGGAGAAAACGCACAGTGGAAAGTATAAAATTTGTCAACTTTAGAAAACGTTTCTCCTATTTGGATGCAAATATCTCTGCCAAACCTTAGCATTTATAGATCACGTGTTTCGCAAATTTCATCTTAATTAAATTAGTGCTCGATTTACACTAATTTTCTTAAATCAGAGAGCATATGCTGGGAGTTAGGTGTCGTCCATTGTTAGTGAAATTAATATTTTGCAAGCCTTTAAAAAACTAGTTTAAAAAATTATACATCGATTTGCAGGCGCCGTGCTGTGTGGTCAGTGGAACTGGGACGGTTCAGAACTTTTAACTTCTGGGGAAGACGGTTGCCTGCGAATTTGGTCGAGGTCAGGAATGTTGCGCTCAACGCTGGCACAAGCTCCTGAACCTATTTACGCCGCCGCTTGGGCACCCGATAACCTCGCCGTGATTTACGCCATTGGTCCCTCTCTAGTCATCAAACCCACCGTTCCAAACACAAAAACGGTGCAGTGGAAGGGTCACGAAGGCGTAATCCTTTGTCTGAGTTGGTCCCCTACGTCGAAACTGATCGTGTCTGGGGGTGAGGACTGTCGTTACAAGGTTTGGGACTCGATGGGACGCTCACTTTTTTCCAGTGGACTGCATAATCATCCCATCACTTCGGTAGCGTGGGCTCCCGGTGGGGATCTTTTCTCAGTGGGAAGTTTCAACATTTTGAGAGTTTGTGATAGATATGGGGTCAGTAGCTTATTGTGCACTTTATGTCAATCTGACTTTGATCAATGATCATTCATCACCAAAATCAGCAAAATCAATACATTTTAAATCATGTTCACGGCTCTGAGAATTTATTTTAAAATTGTGGACTCTCAATTTTGGTAATAAGTTGGTCAATAGAATGACAGTGACGTTTTTTCATTAAAATTAAATTGCCAATTTTTAAAATTGGCAACGATTTTATCTACTGTCATCCAGAATTTTTAAATAAATTTCCAGAGCCGAAAAATGATTAAAAATGTGCTGACTTTGACTATTTTATTTTGGCAATGAATCATCTCGTCCTGCGTAAATTACTAAAACTAATTTTATTTTAATCAGTGGTCCCACTGCCTCGAGAAACTCAAAACCGGGTCCATTTACAGCATGCATTGGGGTGCAGATAGTACACAATTTGGCTGTGCGACATCATCTGGTCATGTCTTCTTGGCGAGTGTGATTGAGCGTGCGGTGTCGTGGGGGACGTATGAGGCCGTCCTCAAGGCGAGAAGGACCGTGGTGGTGACTGAATTTTCAGGAAATACGCAGGACAGGCTGGAATTTCGGGACCGAGTGATCAAAGTAAGGATTTTAAGTTAATGAAAATGAAAATTAGTTATAATACGAATTATAATTATTTCTCTCAAGATGTCGATGGATTACGGTTATCTTGTCTGCGTCACGATTTCTCAGCTCTATATTTATAACGTGAATAACGTAAACACTCCAATGGTCACCGAGTTGAGGGAGAATAATTCAATTAGTCTCATCCTTCAGGCACCCAAGTAACTAAATACTTTCATATTCATAGTCTATAATATCTTGATGATTATTGTTTCATCTCAGCCACTTTGTCCTCTGTGGGGGATTATCCGTCACGATTTGGAATTACGATGGGAAACAGATCGGGACCGTGAAGTGGGGTGGAATGCGAGGGGAGATGATGAATCGAGAAAATGTGACGACTTCCACCGACGTGGTCGCTTTCATTGACCACTCGGACCCCAAAGTGGTTCGTCTCTTTGACACTTCTTCCGGGAAACCGTTGCCCGAACTAAAGATGAAATCTGACCTGAAACAAATCGCTTTGGCGAGAGACAACTATCCCGGTTCGACAGAGAGACAGCTCGCCATCCTCGACAATAATCTGGACCTGATTACGGTGGTCATTCGCAAATTTGGTGCCCCCGTAGAACCTCAACGATTAACGACGATGGTGTCGTCCCTCACGTGGCATAATCAAGCACCGATGCTCGCCGTGATACGGGATGGACGACTAAGAATTTACTATTTTCCACAAATTCTATACGTCGACGGAGCACTGTTGGATTATACGTGGGAGGATCGTGACTTGGCGTGAGTGGTACCGATTTAATTGGAAACTGATTAATTAAGTGGATAGTTAAAAAAGTATTAATTTTCTCAATGAATCAGAGATCTTGGTCGCCAACCAGAAATCCTGACTTATGAATCGAATCGTGTCTCCATCCGTAAACCGGACGGCGTCCTCATCGTGGGGACAGCGTCCCCCTTCATGGCTCACCTACATCAGCACGCAATGCTGGGAAAGTTTCCTGAAGCAAGGCGGATATGTCGATATGTTAATGTGAGATTATAATTGGTCATATAATTAATAAATCTTAATTAGTAATTTTCTGCTCAGAGTAAACTCGTGTGGGGTGTGATGGCTGGGTTGGCCTCGTGGAAGCAAGATCTCTCCCTGGCCGAAATATGTTACTCGGAACTACAACTTTACGATAAGGTCATGTTCGTGCAGGATATCAAGGTAATCAATTTGATAGGTTTATAAAACTGCTTATAAAATATTGTGGTGTATTTTTTACGTTTTTAAACTTCAGGAAAACGGTGCAGATGAACCAACACGAAACGCCCTGCTCGCTATCCTCTCCGGAAATGTGCAAGAAGCAGAAAACATTTTAATGCATTCTGGCCGAATTGAAAATGCGATCGAGTTGAATGTTAACTGTTGTAAATGGGACAGGTTAAGAATATTAAATTAGTTACATATTTAAAAGCCACCCTAATTAACTATTTGTACAAATTATTTTTATTCAGAGCAATCGAACTATCTACAAAGCACAACCTCCTTCTAAACCTTGTCCTCAGCGCACGGAAAGAATATTTAGAAGAAATCAATGCAAAAGAGAGTAATCAACTTTACATCGACATGGCGAAAAAACACCCCTCCGCTGGAAAGAGTAAGAGGTCGACACAGAATAAGAAAAAGAAATCGGCCGGTACTGAGCAACGCCAAGCACCACAAATGGAAGAGGACCCCTCAAATCCGGTCGCATCAACGAGCAAAGCATCAATAATACATTCATCTAACATTGGCGGTGGCGATGCAGGGTTGCGACCTAAGTCTAAACCTCATCCAGTAGAACCAAGAAGTTTAAGCCCAGATCCAGCAGATGAAGATCTCGAAATGGAATTACAACTCAAAGGAAAGTTTAAAGAGTTGGAATTGGAACAGGACTTTTATTAATAAGTGAATTACTAATTGAACAAAAAGAACAAGGTTTATCATATTCTATCAAAGTTTAAAAGTAAAAAGTATTCCAAATATTCTAGAATTTTGGTTAAAGTAACATATTATACAATAGCGTAATTGAAAGTATTTCTACTTTATGTACTTTTGCATGAATTTGCGGTGAAAATCGGACCTCAGACAATCGTTAATAAAACCTTTATTTTTATCGGCATCGTCCACACGAGCACAATTTTTGAAAACGACGTCTTCATCCCATCTTCGCTTCACTTTCATATCACTTTTCGCCACGGCGGAGGATGCAGAGGTCACATTGAGGAGCGGGTTTCCACTCAGAATGTTCTCGGCACGGATTCTTTCTTCCTCTGCGCGTTTTTCAGCCTCTTTCTTCAATTGTTCTGCAGCACGTTCCTTTTTGATTCGCTGCAATTCTGCCATTAGGGCGGCAGTGTCGTCCTCATCGTCGGAGGAGTCGTCTTCATCGGAAGCCTCAGAATCGTCAACGGGATCATCCGCGTCAAGATTTGTGTGATCAGAGCGAGCTTTTTTGGCAGGTGGGGGTTGTATGGCGACTCGGGGTTCTTCTGGTGGTGGTGGAGGTCGATTTCTGATGTCCTGAAATATCAAAAGCGTTTATGTTAAGTGGTGAGTTGCTTGAAATGACAGTTCTTATTTTGTATTAAAATTTGCTTAATTTGTGTGCACAATACCTTATCCTTCTCCTTGCGAATTTGTCTTTCTTTCTCTTCCAAGTCTCGTCGGTAGTCCTTGTTCTTAAATTCATCCGAGGTTCCCTGGCCTGGTTCTCTAATTAAGTTAATCATATATTATGAGTCATTAGTAAAAACCATAAATGCGATACTTAATTGTACATAAACTGTTAGTTGGAATCTAGAAAAGGTTAGGTCAGGTCAGGTCTGCTAAAATTACTAGCTAGATTCTTATCTTTAATTCAACTTACCGATATTTAAGTTTTGTTTGTCCTGGCAAATCCCTGGACGAGTATTGTCTGGACAAGGCGCTCAAGTCCTTCTCCCCCTTGCCACTCCCACCTCTCGCGGGTTCGAATGTGGGACGAGCTGCTGTCGTCATTTTCAAAAAGTTTCAAACTTTTTGACCAAAACGACAAAAATCAAGTTTTAACTAACGGACAACAAAATGTAAATCTGTATAAAACTTCGGTGTCACAGTCGGTTCTACTTTCACTAATCACCGTTCCAAACTGCAAAAACAATATATTATTGAAATTCAAAATTTCAGAAATAACGTTTTAAGTTTCCAAAATCAAAAATATTAGAAGAAGCAAGAGCAAGCTTTCACGACGAATAGCAATTCAATTGTGTAAGTTTAGGGTTGCGCGAATCACGTGGTACAAAGACTAGCGGCAATTTTAAACCTCACGATCCGTCTTTAGTGATTTGCGTGTCGGGAAATTTTAGGTTCATTTTAACTTTTCATTTGTTTATCGAACAAAGTATTATGCAAAGTTGATTAGTGATTTTGCACAAGTGAAGTTTGGCCTTATCATCATCATCGAACAGAGGATTTACTGGAGATCAAATAACGTCTTTTGAAGGTAAGTTCAACTTGGTTAATTCATGATTTAAAAGTTATTAACGATTCGATTACTGGTTAAATTTAAAAGTGTGATTTGAATTATTAAATAACTTTGACATCGTTTGAATTTCAGCAATTAGTTCTTTAAGCTATAACCAAGATGGACATCCCAGAACCGATGCAAGTTGACGCCAACGACATCATGCTCGTGGAGGACATGAACGAAAACAACGAAAACGAAATGATCCAACCTCCCCCTCCGGGTGGAGGTGGGGCGCAATTTCTTCTCGGAGGGGAGGAGGAACCACCAGAAGATGCCAATTTTTCCGTAGAAAATCCATCCTTGGTATGGCATCAAAGTATTTCTAACTAAAATGTGAATTATAAATTAAGGCAGTAATGTTAATTTAATTGTGCAGGATTTGGAAAGCTACGCTGCAAGTTACACTGGAATTGCCAAGTTATTCCGACTCATCCACATTGCTGATCATTGCCCTTCTTTGAAAACGGATGCTTTAAAAATGGCGATTGTTCATGTCAAACAAACCTACAGTGTCGACATGTATCAACATCTCCATAAGAAGATAAGAGGGACAAATACCGTGGCGTCGTCAACTGGGTATTTACAATAAATAATATTGTGTAGAATCTTATGGAGCTTCCAGTTATTTTGCAAATTATAAGGGATTGATTATTTTGATTTGATAGGAACAATAATAATGCCGCTGTCGTAGTTGGTGACGCTGACGCTGGAAATGGAGCCGTGGCCGCACCGGGGGTAAACAATAACGCCAGCGAAAACGAAGCTGGTGGAGAGGGTGGTGCCGCTGCTGCTGCTATTGTTGCTGCTCCACCCAGTTCGACAGATTATCCTCCATTGGACGCTCAGTGGATGGAAGCAACGGTCAAGAAGAGTATGCTCATGTTGGACAAGTTAGACGCAGAATTGAAGAATCATAAATCAAATTCCATCAAGGAAAGTATCCGACGGGGATACGATGACTTGGGAGAATATTGTAAGAACTGTCAATAGTGTCAATGGCATATAATCCTTATAAGGGGTAGATATAAAATTTCGTTTTTTTTTGCAGATTTAGAATGTGGGGATTTGTTAAATGCCTTGAAATCTTTTACACGATCGAGGGATTACTGTACTTCAGCGAAACATGTTATTAACATGTGCCTCAATATTATTAAGGTGTGAACATAATTCGTAGAGCTTTAATTAAGAAAAGGACTGGTTTCAAGTACATTTCTAAATTATAGGTTTCGATTTACTTACAAAACTGGTCTCACGTAAGTCTTACTTTACCGCAGTCCCCAAAACTGTTCAAGATTTTAAACATTTAATTTGCTATTTAAGGTTTCGAACTATGTGACGAAAGCTGAAAGTACCCCAGACCCCTCAGAAGATAAGAGGGCAGCAAAGACAACGGTGAGTAAATTATAATATTAATTGAAGTTGCGCATACATAAAATTGTTAACCTTGTATTTATTTATTTAGACGAATGCAAAGGAAACGGGTCAAGTTGCAGCGAAACTCAGGTGCGCCATGGGGTTGGCAGATCTTGCTCTGAAAAAGTACAAGACGTCGGCGAGATGTTTTCTTCAAATAACTTTCGACCATTTTGACTGCCCCGAACTTTTATCTCAAAGTAATGTCGCGGTATATACGGCTCTCTGCGCCTTGGCGACTTTCAATAGGAAAGAAATGCAGGATGAAATTATATATAGCAGGTATTTTCCTACGAGCAAATGTGGTATGATTAACAATAGCTAATAATAACAGTTAAAATTAATTACTTTTAGCTCATTTAAATTGTTCCTGGAAGTTGAACCACCAATTAGAGAAGTAATTCATTCGTTTTATGACTCCAAATATGGAAAATGTCTCCAATTGCTGGATGAAATGAGAGTAAGAGTTTTGATTAAGCATCATTATGTTATGTTTTTGCCGATTAGTAATTAATTACCACATTAATCATTCTGCAGGACAATCTTATGTTGGATATTTACCTAGCTCCACATGTGAGAACGCTATACTCTCAAATTCGAAGTCGAGGACTGATCCAATATTTCGCTCCATATGCTTCCGCTGATATGAGTCTAATGGCACAAAGCTTCAACACGTCAATCCAACAATTAGAGAACGAACTGATGAATCTCATTCTATCGGGTCAAATTCAAGCCCGGATCGATTCTCACAATAAGACTCTCCTCGAAAGGAATGACGACGAAAGGTGTGCCATCTTCGATAAAGTTTTAAAACTGGGGAGTGAATATGAAAGAAAGACTAAACTTGGGATTTTGAGAACGGCAATTCTTCGGGCACATATTCAAGTCAAGGTAAGTGAGCACTGATAATTAAGTAATTAGCAGTCAATTTTACATAAATATCGTCACTCTATTGTTTTAGAACCCATTAAAACAGGACCAAGAACAGGCTTCCGGTCGAGGAGGACGTTCTCACCATTTCAACAACCACATTTGACCCCGATCCCTCTCAACGCGCCTGTGACGTACCGTACCGTATATCCATTGTCTTCAAAAATATAGCGTACCAATCGATTATTTGAAACCAATACTATTACTACTACACCGTACGTACCTTATACTACAGAAGTTATGATATGTGATGATAATTCATGTCATTATTTAATCCGTCGTTTGAGAACACTGTTAATTTACATCTTATTTCTTAATGTTTCAAACTCAATTTTCATTCAATTTAATCAACAATTATCATAATAGTGTAGGAACAACAATAATAATTATTTATAAGAATTAAAATGGTTTAAAGCTATTGGTATTGAAAACAGTACATGTAATAACTTAACATCTATTTAACAAAAAAACTGGCTGAATAGGTCCATGCATTGTTCGTGTACTTTTAAAATTACATAATTATTCAGTCTTTTCCCAAGCAGCAGTTTTTCGTGGATACTTAATTTTACATGAATATATTTTTAGTCTTAAATCTGGATCAATACGAATCATGAATAATTATCATTTCTTTCACTCAATTAACACTAGAAACTTATAAAACCCTCGAGATCTTTCAGTCATCAATATTTCACTCAATTTTGTATGTCTAAATATTTATATCGAAATTTGGAGAAATTTTCATACTTCTTAATCTATACCTCTTATATAATCTTATTTTATATCAAACCCCATTTGCACAAAAAAACATTAGTATTTGTACCATCTATTCATCTACAAGACCCAAACTCCTCCAAAACTTAACCCTCTCATTAAACGGGTCGTTGACCATTTCCGGTTGTAGCTTAATGTCCATAAAATTGATGGGGGACGTGGGCGTCGCATTTCTTGGGACTGGGGTCCAAGTTAGAGTATTTCGCAATTCGTTGTTGTTTTGGTTGTGAGTGCTGGTCAAGTATGGTCGCCTGATAAGTAAAATAAGAACCAATTAGAAATCTGATTATTAATTGTGTTACAAATTTAATTACCCTGTTCTTGCAAAATTGGACCACATTCTCGTCATAATTTTCGACACCTCGTACTCTTCATCCTCCAAAGCGAGGTTTGGATAGTAGACCGTGTTGTTGAAAAGGTAGATCAAATCGTCCAAGTGGGAAACGCCATAATCTTGCGGGCTTTGTCCGAGGAGTTGAACAATACTATATTTCCCACGGTACGCGAGTCGATAAGCGTAAACTGGTTGAGGGCTGTACCGAGCGTGAAGTTGCATCCCTCGGATTCCACAAGTAATGACGTATCGGTCTCCAAACATCTGAAGAATCGATTTTAATTATAATGTCACAAAACAAGAATAATAATGTATTTAAATACCTTGATAAGCTCGTCTCGATTTGCCAGAGAAATGTTCGAATTTCCCAAATAATGATTTCGAACTTGATTCGAGAGGCGGGCAGAATTGTTGGCTTCGGTGTTTTTAAAGTCGAGGAATATCGAACCGTACTTGTCCCATTCGGTATTTAGTTGGTCCACACTTCCATTTCCGATAAACAGGACGGCAATATTGATCCCTCCTTCGTCCGCGTTAAGCCCAGTGATCCAGGGGACGGGGGCAACCCCACCCCTCTTGTAAATCGTCTCTGGTAATTCGGACAGGAAGGAGCCGGCGTGGGCGGGTTCCAGGACGGGGCCGAAGATGACGACGGGGTACATGGTCCACTCCTGTAAATATCGAAAATATCTATGAATTCAATAATCACTTTTGAAGAGAGAATGTATGAAATAAAAACGGGAGCACGTACCAAAAATGCGAGTTGCATAAAGACCAAATCTTTAGCGTCCTTTTGTTTCAAACATGACAAGATTTCTTTCGAATTTCCCGTGCAGTTGAGAAGTGCAGAGTATTTCTGCGCATTTTCAGCCGCTTTTTCAGTAATGCTCCAGAAACACGTGGCACACCCACTTTGGGAAATGGCACCGTGGAAAAGGCCTGCAAAATTATGCATGCATCTGAATATACATATGTAAAATAATAATTTATTCCTTTCCTACCTCGAGACATTGGAGAAAACATGTGAAAGTGGACAGATCCTGCGCCAGCACTCTCCTAAAAAAAAGAAAGTACTTGCTTGAAATTTTGTCTAACTTAAAAAAATGAAAATCATTACTAATCTCTCACCCCAAAAATCGTAATTTTGTTGGGATCACCCCCAAAGTTGGCAATATTTTCACGGACCCTGTTACATATTTGAAATTTTACTTATGCATTAATATTTTGCATAATTTCGATTTCATATATTGAAAAAATTAACCATTTTAGAGCCAGGGTTTGATCTTTGAGGCCATTATTGCCAGGGCTGGTCATATCCCCGGTGGACAAAAAGCCTGCATAATAAGTAAGGTAACATATGAACAAGAATATTAAGAATTCATCAAGATAAATAAAATTATTTGTATTAAAAACATGAAAACAGCATGGTAATTAATGACTTGGAACTTTTCTCGAAATAATTAAAGTCTCCTCCTGCCATGCATTTTTACAAAAATCCACACTATCAATATCATCCATCAATCTAGACGGGAAAGTGCCAAGAAGGACAAGGTGCAACAAGGTAGGTTGGTTTTTCTCATGATAATGAAGTCATAATCATGTGGGAGAAAACACCAGACCGGATTTTCCAGTAACATCAAACTCTTTCTCACCTCACCGATCACTCACTCACTCAATTCAATTATGAATTATGATTGGCTTAATGTGTTTGAGAGATGATGTCAGATCCGCATACAATAAACTCAGCCTTTTGCAACAAAATTAATCTGTGCATAATCAATTGCAGGAATACTATGTATCTACTTCTTGACTGAGGTACCTCTCTAATCGTGTCATGATTATGTCCAGATAACCATTTTTTCCCAGACCTACACGGACTTGCAGAAGTAGGAACGATCCTGTGGCTCCCATTTTCAACGTTAAAATGCCTATAAAGCATAAACCGGTCCAGCTTTTTGTCAATTTCATAAGTCAAGATGCCAACTTCGTTCATCACGAGATTTGGCTATTTTGATCACAAAAAAAGCATAACTGACCCTAGCCAATTATTCATCTGTGAACCTTAGCCCATTTATAGATAGGGAGATTACGTGATAATTGGTATGTCGACTGACTGCCTACATATGTAGTCGTAAAAACCAATCTTGTAGGAAACAAGTGCACAAATTTAGCGAGAGAAGGTCACGAATATTTAATTGGCAACTATCACAAGAAAGAATGATGACCATTATTATTTAAGTGGGCAGGAAAGTCACTGTGCAAAAATAAGATTTTATGCAAAAACCACCATAATAACCCGGCTACCGAACCTTCGTCATTCATCCTGGTTCGCTATTAAATGTGTAAAAAGTGGGACCCAATTTTTGTCCCTGTTTGGATAAGTACCAGGTGTATGGAAAATTACCAATGACTTTAGCTGTGGAACTAACTTTGCGGCTTTGTGCATTCGAATGACGTCTTTTAATTTTTGCCGAGGTGTCTTGTTACTTATTATTTAATTATTGGTTCATTTAATTATTGTTCTCACAGCCTCCATATTATGTAAGAAACGGGTTGTTATGCAGAACTGGGACGGTTTTGACAAAGGGTTTCATGCAAAATGTTTGCTATACGGCTTGGTCAGTTTTTTGTCACGTTCTTTTTTAAGAAATGCATAACTGGAGGTATTTCATAACGTCTTACATAATTTATTTACTTTGTATGTATGTCGTTTAGTTAGCTTTAAGCACCTTCACGTTTAACTGACCATGTCCAAAAAATGTGCATAATGAACCTATTAAAAAATCCATGGACATAATTACATCTCGAGCTACTTGTATGCCACCTTCATTTGCTACATTTTGATTTTATGAGGCTGGAGAATTCTCACGAATGAATATACGTGGGTGTTTTATTATTAATTTTCAAAAGGTATGTTCCGCACTGTTTCTCGCCAAAATTTTGATGAAAGAACAAACTTCAAATACATTTAGGAGGCTGTGATTTTTTTCAGTTCTGTAGGTTAACATTAACACTAGCAATAACCCATTAAAATTTACCTCGAAAATATGCCAAAATTTACGACTTGATTTCATTATCATCCGAAAACCGTTTTCCCCTGATGTTTTTCTTTAAGTTTCGAAACGAATAATAATCACTAAGGGTCAAGTCCGGACTGCACGGGGTGTGGTTTGTGCAGGTAAAGCGATTTTCGTCTGCACTAACCCTCGCAAAAAGCCAGGTATGAGGTGACGCGTTGTCGTCTAAAAAAAAGGCCAACTCTTTATTTTGACCCCACGTTTCTTTTCAACCGGAGGACGCAGCTCCTTCGGGGTTCCTGCATACACGGCCCCATTTATTGTAGTATTTCCAGCAATAAATTTTATAAGGAGGGGACCTTTGGTATCCTTGAAAATGGTCATCATCATTTTTTTGTCAGATTTTTGCACTTTTCAATTTACGGGCGGTGGCAACCCCTCGTGCTTCCATTGAGGGAATTATTATTTGGTCACCGGGTCATAATAGTAAACCCAAGTACCATATGCAACTAATAAAATATTGAGCAGGTTCAAGTCTTCATTTAATAGGTTAAAATTGGCATTGCAAAAGTCGACTCGATCCTGTTTTTGAGATGCTGAAAGCAATTTTGGTACCCAACGGGCGGAAACCATTTTCATACCTAAGTCTTCAGTTAACATGGAACAAATTGCTGGTTTTGAAACACCCATCTCATCTGCTAAATAGGACAGTTTCAATCGCGGATCTCTCATTATTTGTTCCTCTAGTTTCCGGAGCCTTTCTGTGGAAGAAACGGATTTTGAGCGTCCTGGCGACTTTTTGCCCGAGACCTCGTTTCGCCATCATTTAAAATTATTGACCCAATTGAATTTGTGTTTTGTGTTGGGCAGTCTTCATCGTAAATTTTAAGCATTCAACCATAAATCTGCGACACGTATTGCCGATCCAGCATTAAAAATTAAATCACACTACGATATTTAATTTGCAAATCTAGCATTTTTTCCGTCGAGGTAAAGTTTGCCGATTTATTGCTAGTGTTTATGTTAACCCACAGAGCTGAAAAAAATCACAGCCTCCTAAATGTATTTGAAGTTTGTTATTTCATCAAAATTTTGGTCAGAAACAGCGCGGAACATACCTTTTGAAAATTAATAATAAAACACCTACGTATAGTAGAAATACCTAAACCAATTTCTTAACTCGTTACAATTATGCATATAAACTTTGTATTACAAAGTGGGACTGACTATAGTGTTTGCAAATTTTCATGGAAAAAGCATAACTTTTAAATATATGCAAATTTATGGACAAAGCGTGGCATAAGTATGATTAGTCGTATATGTAATTTGAAATTCAATTGAATATTATCTTACCTAATGACCCCAATCTGAAATTCCAAAAAAAATCTCAATTATAATATACTCTTAGAAAACTGGTGTTAAATCATTACTGACCGGAGTACATAGGTGATTCTACCTGGACCGTTTAAATGTTTTGGAGAAGAACGAGAAACAAACGAGAAACAAACTACTACCAATCCGGTAGGAAAATATTACCAAATCAATCTTTTAAAAGTGGTCAGTGCGAAATAACGAACAAGGAAGCCATTACATTATTATGACACTCATTTTTGACCTTTGACCTCACCTGTAATTCATCGACACAAGGACAACGTCTTCATCCAAGAGGTAAGCTGGACCATACAAACTACTCGATGAAAAGAACCAGCCCCCTCCGTGTATCCTGAACGAAGGCAAAATCATTCTTCAATAATTATCGGTAATTTCGGTAAATTGTAGTTAATTACTTACCAAACCATAACTGGCAGTGGGGCATCTTGTCTCCTCTTGGTCGATGGAAGCTGCAAAAATTTTGGTACAGATTATAATTGGGTTGCATTTTATAATTATTATTGCTGAAAGTTATGCATATTCTCAATTTGTATCAATTGAGGCTTTTGGACTCTTTAATTCATTGGATTTATTTCTGCTGAGGTGGCAAAATTACTGGACAGCAATGACTCTGACCTGACATATGCCATGCGGGTCAGACACTTTGTTTTGATGAAAGAACAGATTGATCAGCAATTTATGCAGAATTTAGTAATTTAGGTAATTAAATTTAGGTAATTAAAAATTACTAACCTTTGGAGTGTACACGTTTAAATAGAGGCAGTCTTCCTGTCCATGAATGTTGTATTGGAGGAGGTAATCGGCCTGAATGCAGGTTGGGCTGTCGGCCATGGCGTCACGGATTCCGGTCCAGGGGGAATTTTTGACCGGGGGCTGGATAAGTAGAAAAACGGTGTGTAAAAAATGAGGTATGGCTTCAGTATTGGGGTCATAAATTAAAATGAATTTTGTCCCAGAAAGACAGTCTCATGAAAATTTGCATAATTCATACTCATTTAATATGCACATCTCATCCTGTAAGGTCCTCATTTACACGCGGAATTGTAATGATCTTGCACATTTTTCTTATCACGGAAGGAAGTAAACTTTGACCAGTATACGTATATGTGCATCTCAAGGAAATTATATTCTGATGACCACAAACGATGGAACTTTAACCAATTAAGATAAGCTTAAAGGGGTCAGTTGAGAAAAAGTGATGAATTGCATTTCCTAATCTCTCATACAAAATTTCTGAAGGGATATTTTTACAAATATTTAACCTTAATTCCAAACTTTAGATAAGTACTTACCTCAAAACGTAACGCTCCCACTGGCGGCTGGGCGAACGGGATGCTTTTGAACGCGGAAATATTCCGATTATTGATCGTCTTCATGGTAAACCCTTTCAAAAACCCGTCCAAAATTCCAACCACGGGATACTCATCCGCCTGCTGGGAAGATTCGACATGTGGCGAATCCGCGAGCAGCGGTGGCGGCAGATATTCCCCACTTCCCCGGCTTTCTCCCCCCTGAATAACCCCCCCTTGATGATCACTGCTATGAATGGCGACATAGTTGGGCGACACGTTATAAACTTTGGGGTAAATGACACCATTGATGGGGAGGTAGTAGATCGATGTGTGTGGCGCCTTGGTCAGGTCGACCTCAATTTGTGCACTCGTCGGACCTTCGACGACCTGGGTGCAAGGCAGCAACGTGCAGACGAGCGTGACGGCGAAGTTGGCAAACATTTTGAGAAGGGTGAAAGTGTGACACAGTTTATACGGAACGAACTTGATCCAGTAACACGACGATCACGACCACGACCACCTCCGCCTGGAAGACAAAGGACACGAATGGGGAAAATTTGAGATGCAGTTGCGAATTTATACGCTCGCCGAGATCGAGATGAGATGATGCCGCATTAAATACTACGATGAGCTACTACATGCAGGCATACACCTCTCCCTAGCTAAACAAAGTAAGTATATTCTGTGTAGTAGTAAATAGTAGGAGCTTACTTAATAATGTAGTTGTAACCAAACCAGTGCTGTGGGAAATGTAACCATTTACATTACTTAATTTTTATATGTGCATGAGATGCGTACTTATATATGAATAAATGTGCAGTGGCCGCGGAAGCTTGAGCGGACAGGGGGACAGTGTCCCCACGGGTATTCGATGTCCCCATCATCTCCCCATGTTATATAAACCACTCCCTCCCCTATCCTACAATGTTAATGTCCCCACATGTCCCCATACGGCTTCCGCGGCCACTGCAGATGTGTATGCTGTTCTATAAATAAGTAAATTTTTGGGTAGTTTTAAATTTTTTCCATTTTTTGTATTACCCAACCACGTCTGAGTCTGCAATTCAAAGTTGTGGCTAGAAAAATAGTTTTATATGTGACTGGTTGAGGTTGGATTAATAATTAAAAAGTTGGACTGGTCAGGAAGTTTAATGGTTGTTTTGTGTGGCGGTGGATGGATGAGGAATAAAAATGGTTATGAAAGGGTGTAGGTACTTAAGCATTTTTGCAATCGGAGCTAAAAGTATTAAGCCTTTTCTGGTGTAGAAGTACCTAGAGCAGGAGATGGCCGCATGCAAAATTTGTTGATGAATGAGTAGGTTTTAAGTAAATTAAAGAGAAGGGTGTACTTAAGTATTTTGGCAATTGGAGCTTTTTCTGGTATGGCGGAGATATAGAAGCATGCAAAATTGTTGATGAATAAGTAGGTTTTAAGTAATTGTTCTTTTAATAAAAATAAAAATGAGTGTGGGTTTTTATGCCCCAATTTAAATAAATTATTACGGACATGAACAGCACTTAATTTGCAAAGTGAAATAATTAGGGCTGCATTTATCCGGTTTATTGTGTGTGGTTAGTTCCAATATGGTTTAATTGAAGTATTCAGGGCGCATTTTGATTTTTTGATGGAAAATTATCAATTTTTTTGCATTTAGTGGAAAAAAGCTAACTGAATTATGTATGTACTCATCGCTATTTAAAGCCGTTACGTCAGATTTCATGCAAATAAGGCAATTCACAAAGTACTTAATAACTTTGTAAAACGTAAATTCTATAAATAATTTTACAAATCTTTACTAAATAAATAGACGCCTAAAAGTTTGTGAGCTAATTTTCGTTGGAAATATTTGTAAAACCTTGTACGTTTACAGAATTTATGGGTTTTACAAAGTTACATGCAAGGTCCGCGTGCATTTCCTCAAGAATATAAACGGCGTCAGAAACAACGTTTTCTGAAAGACTCGTTTGGTTTTTGACTGGATGGATGGGATGGGACGAGGAGATGATCTCCACGTGCCGAATTTTTTTCAAAGTCCTGTTATTCAAGGGTCCCCTACTCACTCTCAGGCTCATTCATGCCATAAATTTAGGCTGTACTTTTACCTTTACATACATACATTGGCTCCCCTTCACTTTGAAAACTCACCTGTCTCCACTTCTTCCTGATGCTATTTAGGCCAAGTTGCTTCTACACGTCTCGTGGCATGAGATTTCATTCCATTTTTTGTCCGGATTCAATGCTGGTCCCCTCCAGGAAATACTACGCGTGTAGCTACACAGATTAGAATAAGCATGGAGATGATGCACGGGTACTTTTGCATGTCTTCTCGTACACGTGGAAAGAGGTCCAATCTAAGTGGTACATCTGCTTTTTTAAGCTGGAATGATGACCATGATTTTAAAACTACAGACCTAACGGACAAACGTGGAGCATGTTCTACGTTACGTTACGATTTCGGTCCGTTGTGTCATGCCTGTGAATTTCAAAGTATTATTTGGAAAACGTTGATGAAGTGGGACGATCATCATTCATATGCAAATTAATTAAGGGTTCTTCCCATGTCGGAAAGTGTACAGGTTTTAGGAGGGATTTTACTCAGCAACCCTTTTCATGAGGAAAAGGGTTCAAATCATGACGTTCCACGTGCCGGAGGAGGACTTAAGGATCAGATTTAAGGGCCGCCTCTATTCTACAAATACGTAGGTTTCATTTGAGGTAACCGTTTTTCATACACATCTTCACAAGAATTAGGATCTCATGATGCCACTGCCTGCTTTTGGGTTCACCAGAGATAATTTTATTGAACAATAAGTTATTACGCACGTACATAAACACAATTCAATTGTCAATAAATTAATGTAATAATTATATGCAGCATGACATTCATACAGTTCAAAGTGTATTTAGTTAATGGGTACATTTTGAAGTGCAGAGTTATCTGCACTCTAAAGTACAAATACAACAATTATTATATTCTGTTACACACAAAATTATCAGATGTTCATGTTATCGTGAAGAATTTCCATTTATATAATCCCCGCATTTTTGTATTTATACTTATCCGAAAACTCTGTTATGCAACTCTGCTATGTACCAAACAATTAATACTACACGGGTTGTACTTGAACGCGTATGTACATATATGATTTATTCATTCGAGTATAGAACTGCATTCGCATAGAAAGAATGTGTTTATACATAAGTATGTTTTTCGCAGAATATTATTATCATTTGATGAAATTGTCTCGCATTTTTCAAATAAATGTGCATGTGCTATCAATCAAATCCTAAAAGTCAAGTGTCCACTCGACTTATTACATATGCAACGTAAACAAAATTACACACTACGTAAAACGTGATATAGGGGTTAAACAATCGTATAAAAAATATTGATCTACGTGCAAATATGTGTTAAATATATGTGTCTGGCTAAAAAGTACCTCGTGGTGTGGTATCTCTGCTCTGGTGGCGTGGCGTGGGTGAAAGAACTCACGCCTTTCTCTCCACCTTCTTCGCGTGGAAGAAGCTTTTTAGTGATTTCTAGTGCATTTTACTTGCAGATTTCCCATCATGCTCACAATGCCCACGAGGAAAAACAGATTACTTAGTGGGCTAATAAATGCTAACAGCTACTGACTGAACTTTTCATTGTGGTTAGAATTGGGAATTTCGAGGTGTGAATGAATTTGGAGCGGATTTCTAAGAATTTCTTAAGCAGTTTCATCCACCTTGGGGAATTCCGAACTGAAAATGACGGCATAGCTGAGAATACGGGGTGAAAAAGTGGCTTGTTTTACCACTACAAATTCATTGACTAGACTCCTTGTTGGGACATTATGTCATGCATTATGTAACAAGAAGACGTTGGTAAACCCCTATTAATAGTCACACTTGAGTTATTTTTTATGTTTTAGTAGTGTACATATGCACATATGTAAGTAATAGCTCTATGCATGCAGTCGGATGTAAAAAAAAAGAGGAGCCAGACCAGGCACATGCAAAAAAATGTTATTTGCGAATGGCCATTCACTTCATTGGATGGATGGACGGACGGCGGATTAAACTGGGTCCAATAATTGGCTTTAGTGCAGGTACAAATAGTTACAGTAATCGCGGTAACGTATTGTAACAGTAACGATACGACACGTGTATGTCTGCAGAAAGATGTACGCACACAATTGGGAGTTCATCGGGATGGAACATGGTTTGAACTCACATTGAGAGTGATGATCTTGTATTGTATGTAATTTTTTGTAAGATGTCGCATTTTTAGGGCAACGTAATGCTAATTTACCATTTGGAGAGACGTAGTAGTAGGGACAAAGATAAGGTAAAAGTCAGGTGTATGTAAAGAAAAAAAAGTTGAAAAAGAAACGACGACCCACTCCACGTGTGTGCCTTGGAGGCTTTTTATATACACATATTTCTCATCCATTTTTACATATACCTGGCCCTGGAGATCTGCTGGAGACATGCTGACGATGAGATAGATGCTACATTATCGGTAAAATTAAAAGTGCAAAGTTTTTTTTGCATACTAAAAAATGCTAAAAATCTTAATTGACGAGCAATTCAATCAACTATACTTTATACAAACTGGTTGTTTTCTCGATTTTATTATTTCTTCATGTGACCAACCAAACAACGTCATTTCATTACAATAAAAATCGCGTTACAATTGAAAGAGGTTTTTGATTGGGGATCTATTCACTCCCTATTAAATTGTTTTGACGGATTATTAAAGAATATTACATGTTTACTTATGTACATACAGTGGAATTTTGCTTGTATGTATGTATATTTAGGACCATTATTAAGTCATTACTTGAATAAAAGTTATCAACCCCGCAGACAATCATTGACGGTCTAGACTTTAATTGGTATGATCCAATTGTCTAATTTATTTCGTTACTAATTTAGGTTTAACAAAGGATGGGTTTTAATTTATAAGGACTTGCGCAATTTAAAAAAAATGTTCAAAAACGAGATCTGCTAAATAATTATATTGAAAGCAGGTTCTTTAAACGTGTAGAATTTTTAGGATGAAAATCTGCTCAGTTTTTTAACAACCGAGTGAAAAATCCTGTTGCATCGGGTTATGCAATATTACTACTTGCTCGAGTATCTATGTAGTTTGATCTGTGCGTACACGTGGTGGGGGTGGGTGTAAGCATAATTCACTTTTACTTTTCATTCGTACCCAATCACACAATTATATTGCAACTGAATGCATCGCATCACGATGACTGAGCCAAAGCCAGCTTTACAAACTTATTATCTACACCTTGGACTTGGACTTGAGAGAAATTTCAATGTCACACGTGTGCATAATTCGTGTTAACAAGTCCCATTTTATAGTTCATCTTTGCCTTTTGGTTGGCCACTTTGTAGGCAAGTAGAACCGTAATTTGGGCTGGTTTTGCAGTTATATTTCTTGATTGTACTGGATTTCTAGTTTACTATACGTGTTCCAGACTATGCGAAAAAATTAAGAGGCATAAATTAAGAGGCAACATTGTTTTTGGGCAAAATCGTTGTATGTAATCAGGAAGAATTTGTCCTCATTTCGATATCAACATTTTTCACACTCGCAACAAAACAATTTTATTTTTCATGGAATTCTTGCGAAAAAATCGCAACCTTTAGCTCGTACATAGTTCAAGTACACACAATTCTCAGTATGTATTTACAAAAGTTCAGTCATTGTCACGGCCAGGGCCAATATCATCGCCAAGTTCGAGTATTTATTTACAACGTGGAATAAAATCTGCATTCATTACTCACCCATGAACAGTGGAGAATTACTAAAATACATGGATGCAGGTATATAAATATAATTGACAATTAAGTATGCTGCACGTGCACCTACGTATTTATGTTGTATGAAGAAGTCTAAACCTGCTCAAGCTACACTGTATGAGCAGTTTTACACATTGTCGTTAATTGCCCAAATAAATTATATGTGTCGAAAGTCAAGTTCTTCTAGAGACTGGACATAGATCCATAAATAACAATGAAACGTGTTGTCCAGTCCCAACAAAAGGCTATGCATTCCAGCACGAGACGAGTTGCTGCAATTCATTTATTTAGTTAATTAGCATGCACAATTATACTTTGCAGTTTGCCAAAATTACACCACGATCTACGTCTTTCTTTTGCATTTGTTATTGTTTTGTGTTGTGTATTATTAAAAATCAGTGATGCATGCATGACTGGGAAACAATAGGAAATTTAGGTAGCAAGTAAGTAATTCCTGCAAATTTATAACGTTTAATGGAGGAAGTTTAATTGTACATACATGTGCGAATGTGAATATGTACTTATTTACTTGATATAGGTACGTCTTTTTTAGTTGGTATGCAATAAATGAATGAGATTCATGAACGAATGTCATGGTCAAAGAGAGGTGTGTAAAGAAAAAATGATGCATTTAATGGCTTAATTTTTACATATTAATAAAAAAAAACACTTCAATTATTGTACGAGATGGGAAAAAACGAGGCGAATGTATTTACCTTTAATTTAGCATATTTTTGGATAAAACATTGCTCGAGACTGATACAACAAAGATGAGGAGGATGGGATCAAGGAAAATATTCTTATCTAATGCAGCCTTGGCCTTCCAGTCTGAAAACTTGTAAAGTTTGTGTTTATTTGTTCTCTTTTTTTGTGTACTAAAAGTGCGAATTTGAGGGTTAAACCAAAATTCAATATGATTTATTTGGGACAAGAATTCTGAGAAATGTGTAATTTTTCACAACGAAATTTTAAAATTCATCGATTGTCTGACTGATAGGATAGATTCAGACTGAAAGTAAGATTAGCATTTTTCACGACAAATTCAGAAAATTGTCAGTCTTTGACGTTAAAAGTTGAAATCAATGATTTTGACTTGTTAAAAATTAAATACAGATATCATCTCTATCTTCAAGAACAAGAAATTTTACCCTATGTTACAATTCAACTTGGTCGTCCATTCAGACAAGCCTTGAATCGTGGTTCCTTGTCCTCCAGCCTGAAAGACAGGGTCAGAGTTGTACTCGAGACCGATCCAGTTTGTGTATTTTGCTTTCTCTAGCACATCAAAGATGTAGGAATAGTTTAGCTCTCCAGCGAGATGCGGCTCGTTTCTGAAGGGAACTTGTGCTATTTGGATGTGACCTATTGAATAAAATGAGTGAATAAATTGGATGAAATATTTGTTTCAAAATTTGCTGGTAAAATTACATTATAGAATTGAAATTACCAGTAAATGGGAGTAACTGTTGCAATCTGTGGGTCACATTTCCATGAATATGTTGCAAATGAAAGATGTCAACTTGCAGCTGAAGGTTTGGACTGTTGACTGCTTTCACCACGGATAATGCTAGGTTAAATATTTTCATGGATTAATTTAATGTATGCATTTTTATTTGAAATTCTATATTTATGTCGGTATGCATGTATTTATAAACCTGCATCAAAATCGCTGAGTAGATAACCAGGTATAGTCAAATTATTGATTGGTTCGATCAATCCAATAATTCCTCGCTGTTGCAAGTCTGGAAGAATGCTGGTTAAGTTTTTCTCCAGGGTTTTCAATACAACGGGACTGTTTTCGCTGCCAGGGTCGAGTTTGCCAGTCATAAAGTGTACCCTAAGGATTTATAAGGACGGAAATTGTAGTTCTTTTGTGATAATTGGAATTGTGATAAATGTTACTTTTTGCATTGCAAAGCATCCGCATATTCAAGAGTAAGTTTGACGGCGTTGTTAAAATCGGTTTCACGCCCGGGAACACCAGCCAATCCAAAATCTCCACTAGATAAGTCGCCTTAATGAGAAGAAGATGAACAAATTACGAATTTATGCCCACAATTTTAATTTCGTTTTATGAAGCTCACCTGGATAAGCGTTTATCAAAATCTGTTCCAACCCGGTTTCTTCCTTTTTTCTTTGTATCTCTGAGATAGGAATTTCATACGGAAATCCGATTTCAACAGCGGTGAATCCAGCCGATTTTGCGGCATCGTAACGATTCAGGATTCCATCAACCTCTTTAAATAGAAAGTTTAGATTTGCACAGAATTTTAGGGAACGCATTTCTAGCGGATGGAGATTTATCAAGTTATCAAAATTCAAATTATCAGATTTAGATGATCAGATTGTTTTATTATTTGTGCAGGGAAAGGTTGTTCTTTCCACATGGAAAAATAGTGAAACCCGAAAACTAAGATTATGTAGTCTGATATATACATAGATATATTATGTCCATATTATATACAAATCGTCTTATGTACAAGTTACAATCATGACAAAACCAGGTAAGAACAGGTTTTAGTTAACTTGGCTTTTATGGAGGTACACAATTGGTCACACACGTACGCAGTGTTTGACATCGTGCAATAAATTAATCAATTAAAAATTCTTTCGGCAAAAAATATACACCTGTAAAAGAAGCATTATTTTATTACTTTGTGCAATTTACGGTGTGATCTTGAAATGCCGTATATCATTTCCAAATATCCACATGACATACATTTTATCTACAATGTTATGCATAATATGCACTTTAGGTCAGTCATGCATGCAGGTCATCTCCTAATAAACGATATTTACTGAATAAACCCCATCGTTATAAATTTGATCATTTTTATTTCTTCATAATTCATCGCATCATGAGATGAGAATTTGCGTCGATAAGTACGAGTAAGAAACCCTTGAAATGCTGTTATGTTGCTTGTTGCTTAAATACAAAAATACGGATAAAATTTCCAAAGTCTCTCGGCAAATTGACGGAGAGACTTGAAAAGAGTATTGGTAAGTTTTTCTTTGGATTAGATTTGAGTGGGCCGATCCTGACTGTACTGCAATGCCAGGCCGACCCTTGGACGGGCGGAAGCAAGCTTCACGACCCCATCCCCGTTCCAAAAATCAGCTTAATATACTGGAAGGCCAATGGCCTTCGTATCAGATATTAAGCTGATAAGAACAGATTTTATTTACCGAATGTTTGGAATGATTGAATTTACAAAATGAGAATAAATATAGGTTTAAGCTTATACTAGGTGGTAAAATAATGCATATGGCTTGTAACTGGTTAGAAAAGATAATACTAATCACTTAGAATCTGAAAAAGGGGTTCAGTTAGTGGATTACCTGACATGTGCATAAATAAATATAATATAATACAAGTAAATTAAATAATGTGTTAAATAATGAGTACCTAAGACTAGATCATAATTATATCTAAAAACATGAAAAATATGTAAAGTTGCTTTATGGTTTTTTGTATTGGGGAATGTTGGTAAGATGCTCGATGTAGATGTCCCTTGACCACTTAATACAGTCCACTACACAAAGTTTTTTAAAGAGTTTTGCATAGGATTTGGCACACACTAAGAGAAAGAATTGGTCGTTGTTATTATCCCATGATCCAAGAGATCCGACAATGAATGGGACAATATCGACTGCACCGTATCTTGAGAGAAGGGCTTGTTGAAGAAGTTTGTATCTCTCCATCTTGGTTTCTCGGGCTTTAGTGAATGCTTCGGGTCGATTCTCAAACGGGATGGTGACGTCAATGATGAAGGCATGGTTATCTTTTACTGCTAGTAAGTCAGGACGGATGTCTAGGTTGGGGACGACCGTTTGGTTTTCTGCGATGATGGTGAACTTGGCAAGAGCGGTCTTCAGTCGATGGACTATGGCGTTGTGGCGGTGGGTGTAGGCTTGACTGTACCTCATGCAGTGATTGAGGACGTGAGGTAGAGTTTCTTGTGGGTGGTTGCATCACCTGCAGGCTTGATTATTGCCCCGTTGCCACATTTTAGCACCGTTAAGGGGGACCAGGTTGAGTCTTGCTCGGTGAATGAAACGCCAGTCAGCAAATCGGATGTAGTCACCGTTTTGAATGAAATGATGACTTGCTTTAGATTGGGCAACAACCTCCATCACTTTTCCTTGGTTGGCAAGACTGTGGAGACGTTTGTCTCTGACTTGTCGAGTTTGTTGGCGGAGAGTGCGGGCGATAGCTTGCCTGTGCCGTGGTTCGAGGGTGATGTCCAAGTGATGGAGAGAGGGACCGTCATCATCAATCGTCCATGAGACTTTTATACGGGATGATGCCTGTCTTGCTTGTGTCCACACGTTGGATATGGCATTGGTGGTGGTGCGGTATGAGCCTTCATTGTAGCCGGATAAGTAGAGGGCAGCGTCCTCAAGGGTGGGAGTTTGGGGTCTGGTTCTTTTCTGCTTGATATGAACTTTGACATTATGCATTAAAATTTTCAAATTGTTTAATGGGAACAATTGCAAAAATAATTAAAGTAACTTGAAATTTTAGCATGTTGAAGTCCCATTCATTGAGTGAGACGTGCTGAATGCGCATTCCGTTTTCTGTCTTCCGTCTTCCTGTCACTTTCATGCAAAAATTTCAAGTAATTTTGTTTTTGTTCGCACTAATTAATTTGAAAATTGTAATGCATAATGTCAAAGCCAATGTTAAGGAGCACATACAAATAAAACTAATGTATGACCTACTGTGACAATAATTAGAAGTTTTTTCATTGCGAAGTCAGACTGCGTTCGTCTCTGAAATCTCTTCGTTAATTTGTCGAGAAATTTCAGAATTTTTATTCCTTTTTTTTATAACATTTCATGGATTTCTTACTTATCGACGCAAATTCTCATCTCGAGATGCGATGAATTATGAAGAAATAACAATGAAATATGCATAAAACTGTCACTTTTGAATGGCTTTTTAAAAATAAAACATGTGTATTTCGGAAGTTTATTTTTGAAGTAAGGTATTACAGATTTATAATTTGATAAAGGTGAACAACTTTTTTGCTACATTGTGAAATCATGGGATTACTGGATGCATGACAGAATGGGGAGTATAGTGCGGTAAACTGAAGATGAGACGATGATTGAGTTTGTTTACGTTTCTTGAAAAGTCAAATATTTCCTATCTTTTAAATATGATATTATTTTAGAAAATCTTTGTAACTTTTTTTTACGCCAAGGGCCAATTGTTTAACTTGAATCGAATCAGAGAGATTGTTAAAAATGCCTTCGCAAAGGCAGCAATTTTGGTAACTTGATAAATTAATCATCTGATCTCTCTAAATTGTAAATGTGGTTTAATTTCTGTATTTTTGTTCAGGTATACAAATGTGAATGCATACAATTGGAAGAAATCTTCAAAAGTACAATTAGAAAGGGAACATGTAGGGAAACACCCACTGCAAAGTTCTCCAGCACATTTGGTAAGCACTTTGATTTAATTTCGTGACAATTCAAATTGAAAGTTTTAGTCAATCATCATTGGTAAAATAATAAATATTGCATTTGTACAGGTGAAAGTAAAGTCGGACCCTTTCGATGGAATTGATCCACTCACTGCAAACCTTAATGAGCTTGACCCATTAACCAGGATGGTCGTGGACCAGGAGCAAATAACGCCATATTCAAATACAAATATTCGCTCGTCTAGGGACACTTTCGAACCATGGTCGTTTCGAAAGTCTGCAATTTTGAGTAGATTTACAACACAGGAAAAATTGTCAATTACAACTTCAATTTATGTGACAGAGAGTGGTAAGTCTGTTATCCAGTCAAAACTCTGCCAATCTTTATTAATTTGTGTCATTCTTATTAAAGAAGTTCGAGGTGTAAGCGAGAAAGTTCTGCATCGTTTGGAACAATTAGACCTTGACAGTGGATCCAAACAATTCTTTGGAGGTCTTTCTCAGGAAGAATATACTCATAAGGTTTTTTGTCAAGTTAAATTACTACTATGTGCATAATAATTGACCGCACTTTCATTTTTACCGCAGATTAATCAACTTCATCAACAATTAACGGAAGCATGGCAGTCAGATTTACGAGTTAACGCTCTTAAAATTTCAATCCAGGTATTAAAGTTTTATGGCATAATTATATATATTGGAAACACGTAACATGATAAAACTTTCATTTATAGTGTTGCAAATTGTTGGGGGATACTTCAGTCATATCATTTTATCCCAGCAAATTTGTCATCATTACAGACATCCTGGACAAGTTTGGACAAATGGTGTACACCCGACTGAAAGGGAAGCAAAGGTTTGAATAGAACTGAAACTACTATACGAGAACAATAGATTAATATATTAATCTAATTTTCACTATTAGATATATTTAATAGTGAAAAATAAGTAAGTAAATGTATGCAATTTTTGAAACAGTGACATCCTTCCTCCTGAAGTAGCAAAGGAAACCTGTAAAAATTGGTTCTTTAAAGTTGGATCAATTCGGGAACTTCTGCCGAGATTGTGCATAGAATTGGCCATATTGAAATCATATTCTTTCATTAATCCCAAGTAAGATTTGATTTAATAATACTGATATTATTGTACATGCATATAAAATCTTACACAGTCGTTAATAATGGATTTTAATTTTTCTATATACAGCCCAGAATACAGTAGAATTTTAATCCGGTTATTAAATTGCATGTGGGGAATTGGTGACCCTGTCGTTGCAATTTATCTAAGGTGCTACTTGTGTCGAGTGGCTATGGAGCTGGTGCCAAACGATAGGGAACTTTTCATGGTGAGTAAAATCAAGTTTGATCGTGTCTAACTTTGCTCGACTCCTGTTGAGCCGAGATGTTGTGACTTTTGATCAAAGTTGGCATAGTGGGCAGTCAGTAGTGGTGGTCAGGACGACAGTTATAATGTGAGAGAAATTACATGATGAGTTTTAAAAGGGCACAGTCTGAAATTACCAACGACTACGAGGGAGTAATTAAAATAAAACCAGGACCCAAGTCCAAAACACAAGTAGTTGTGCAAAATAGTGACAGTGATTCGGACGGCAGTTTATATGACGAAGATAAATATTTTTTTAGTGTCTGCCGAGGTTATCGTGTCCAAATTTTTCTTGACCTAACTGACCCAACCAACTATAGTTTAAAATTATCTGCTGTGACAGGTATTAGGGGTTTCGGTCGTGATTGACGTATAAAAAAGTGGAGGGGGAAGAATTTATTTACACCGAAATTCAGAATCCCAATTTCCGACTTTTTCGACTTTTTGAGATTGAATTTCAAGAATTAAGTGCTAATAATTCCTGTACGAACGCTTCAGAATGTTTCTTGTTTTTGATGTCAAGAGTTATGAAAAAACAATATAGAAAGGACAATACTAAATATCTAGGTTTATCTCCACGAAGTAAAAATACAGAAGTAGCAAAGTATGCTCAGCATCTTATTGATCTGCAAACTTTAAAAGCAACAGTGAAGAGTTTGTGGAGAACAGACATTTTTAGCATAGTTGTGGATGAAAAACTAAATGATGTGTTTAAGGGACTTAAAATAATCACGACAAATTTTTACAACATTCATTGCACCAGGGAGGATATTACAAAACTTATGAAAACCACGATTCATCCAATCATAAAAACTCCCAAAGTTAGTGCAAATACGGCTCGGCAGTCTGAACAATTAAAGTGCAGTTATTGTGACACTTCTTTTTCATGTCAGAAAACTCTGACACATCACCTAAAAGCGTCTCATAACAAAGAATCGAAACGCATTTGTCCAACGTGCAAGTTTCAAACAAATAACTCTGACACATACCAAAATCACTTGGCAAAACATCCTACATTTGACTGTGCAAAATGTAGACGACCTTTTGTAACCAACCAAAGTAGAAAGAAGCACCTTACGAATAAACTCTGTCCCCTAAAGATCCAAAGTCACTCACATCTTAGTAAATAATTGAAAAAATGCTAAAGAACTTTTCTTTTCGCCCAGAAATGTTTTCAAGATTTGCTTCTTTTACACGATCAGGTATGCACATAAGTAAAAAGTTAATGATATTGTTCTTTATAAATGAAGAAAACTAAACCATGTTGCAAAGGTTCTCGACAATTTTCGTAACTCGCCTCAACTTGCCGAAGCCAAAGTGTCGATGGAGACCTACATGATTGTCCTGAGTCCTGCGATTGACTGGATTTTACAATGTCTAGTGCATCGCGGAGAACATTTAAGGTAAGTAATCTTTTATTTAAATTTCAAACCATATCAATCATGTAATTCAGACTCAGCAAACACACGTATGTTCAAAATGTATTAAAATTTTTCAGTTACACACTACAATTGGTGTCGAATGTTCCTCCATTGTACGTAAATATGTTACGTTTATTTCCATGATTTTGAAAAATTATTATCTGAATAGAATTGTCCTTCATGCTTTGACAGTTGGAAATCCGTCTTGTTAAGTTCTGTTTTGGCCACATTTCCTCCATCATTTGTTGCAGAAGAGTCTTTGAACATATTGGACGTGATTCTATCTTTGGAAACTAATCTTTCCGAAATTATCCGAAACTTGGGACTCTGCCTAATAATTGTACATCCACAACATATCCATTCAAAGGAAATCTGGCCCAAAGTTTGGTTTCTTATCAAGAAACTTCAGAATCGAGATTCATATTTGGATTGTTCAGTAGTGTGGATGGAATTTGTCGTAAAAAACTTCGGAGTAAGTTATCATGTTATATACACGAGCACCACCTGCTAATCCTGCATAAGTAGTCGAGTTATGTCACTAGAACACTTTACTTATTATGCGTTTCTTCTCATTTTCAGCCGGACCTTGTCAATTTGTTTATTGAAGATATCATGAATCACGTCTCGCTTAGAAATATTGAACAATATCAAGGAAAACTGGCGAATGTTGTCGATAAATTGCTGACCTACTCAAGTGATATTACTCAGTTGTTGAGAATGGTGTGCATAATTGATTTGAATTATTTTTTTACACTAAAGTATTAAATATTCAATGATTATAATTATGTTGATGTATGCAGAACAAGTTTGTCAAAATGGTGAGCATTCTCCCTGTGGATAATGCCAAATCCGTCATTGCAACATTTAACGCTAAACATCAAAACGCACTGGGCGACAATATTCTGATTAGCACAATTATGCATTTTGCTTGTATGCTTCATGATTCCGTAGAGTAAGTGAAATATTTCATAATTAAACAAGGTCGACATTATCTAATGGTATGATGTTTTTGTATCTCAAGTGCACTTACACCGGTCGATGAAGTAAAACAGATTGGAAGTCTCATCAATGGATTTATCCTTCGAGTAAATTATGGCCGTGATTATGAGAGACAGATACAATTTTATGACGAAGCGAGAGGTTCCTTCACCAATATTGATACCGTCCTAGTGGAGCTAATTCAGGTTTACTGTAGATTTTGCTTTGCAAACTAGCTTAGGAAAATGACTGAATGAAGTTTTTTAATCTGCAGTGTGTTTGCCGACTTGGAATGGAAGTCGGATATATTGTCGGAGGTCATCATACTAAGAGAACCAGAGGATTTCTCTCAGCTTGTATAGCATACGCTTTCATTACCATTCCATCACTAGAAAATTGTTACACCCAAATTCAACTTTATCATCTTACTAGTCAAGTGGCTTATGCGAATCAGTGTGTTAGTCAAGGCAAGTAAAAGTTGTACGAATAATTGTTATATAATTTGACGAATTAATGAAGATGTAATTCTGAGTAGGCGATGCATGTCTGAAAGCTGCCATAAATTCTTTAAACGAAAATCGGAACGAGTTTGATTGTGGAGAACCAATTTTGATTGAATTTGTCTGTAATCTGGTAAGACTATAAGAACTTTTTTGTTCACGAAAATTATTTTGCTAAAAAATTGTATTCCTTTTACAGCTTGGAACACTTCTTGCCGTTCCAGACCATCCAAAAGAAACAATGCTATACATGCTTAAAGCCTTGATGACTATTCAATGGAACTCTGACGTAGTTCAACTGCGATATTTGGCACTGCTTGGAGCCTATGGACAAAAAGAATATCCATACAAGTTCAATTTGGGTGGGTAATTGATGATTTGATGTGCGAGTACATAATTCTTCATTCTTTTTTATCAGAAATTATTATTGCTTATTATAGTCGAGACTAACAGCGAACTATACGGAACTGCCAAACCCTTTATTGCAGAAGTGGACCTGTTGGCGGACAACGTTCTAAAAGAACTACTCTCGCACCTCAAACAATTGAGTGACCAACGCCAGACGAAGGCTCGGGCTAAACTAAGCTTAGACATCTTTTGGGAAATCGTTAATTGGGGGGACATTTCTGTCATGACAAATTATGCTCTCGATTTATGGGAAGTGTCCAAGAAGGGATTGGATCCAGCCGTTATAAACCGTTCCACCGAGCCATTAAGGAAAAAAGCAAACGTTAAACAGGAATATCAACCCTTATCTTCCAAATTGATGATAACCACATAGTAGTAGTAGTAGTAAAAATAGCAATAATGTTGAAACGCTTAAAGATTTAATTGCATTACGGACATTAAATACTATTTATTCTTGTTCAGTTAATTAATACATGTATAATGAGTGCAGTAAATATATAGACTCGGACACACATAGATGTTGGAATCAAAAGTCATGAACGGTTTGGTTTTTAGCTAGCTGTTGTTATAATTTCTTCTTGGCTGCAATAATAATATTGTGAGTGACATTACTAACCAAGAGTAGGACCATTGTATTACCGGTTAAAGGTATATTTCTATTTCTAGTTTCGTGTACTACGTGGAGAGGAGTTTGGAAACTACATCAAAAGACATTCTGTCCTTATTATTACATTCCACTAATTAATGTGAATATTTCAGTACCAGTCAAAACTGAATATCAAATCATTTCAAAATAAGTAATGTAACATCCAGCACACCAATAATAACAGGAATAAATGGCGAGAGACTATAATAATGATTTACGAATACGGATACGTGACACTATTATTGTAATGCATACTAGTAACAAGACATTGATTATGATGCGGTTTTTCTACGTCAACAATCTAAAGTAATACTACCAATTATTACTCAAATCTTGTTAGAGTTCTGGCGACAGTACCATAATTCTCACAAGATTGGAGCAATCATAATTAGAACTAACGACAAGTGATGATTTCTAATGGTATTAATTTAAACGAAAATGTGTGATGATCGTGCAAAGTACATTATTATCAGCGAGCGAAACGAACATATTATTGTTTCCATTCCACAAAACCACTGAAAGTTAATACAAAGCTTACATTCGTAAATAAAATTACAAGTAATTAAATCAATATTCGTAGCACGTTGAGTTTACAGTAAGATATATATGTATAATATATATTATAATGTGTACTTTTTGTTTTTTATAGCGATGCATTGTTAGAAATACACTAAAATTTACCTCTTTGTTCTTTGATTTGACACATTATCAAGAAAATGCACGAGTGATTTTTATAGACAGATATTTGCTATTAATTTTTTGCCCTGACTATGTAATACATACATGTGGTCTTGTCTTCTACCGTTACATCAATTAAATTTCAATAATCAATCATTCAAATTCCTTCAGCTCAACTGAATCGATACTTAGCGTCATGGCGTCATTGTACGCTATAACTATGCAGTAGTGATCAAATAGTTGCTTCAATAATTCGTGCTCGTCAAGCATCTCGATGGATTCTATTCGTTCGATTTCTTTCGGAGCTATAGACGCGTAAACGTCATTCATCGTCCATGCCTTTACTCCTTGCCAGCCACAATCGGTGAATCTAATTGTCATGAAAGAATAAAACAAATTATGAATAACTTGTGAAAACATTATGTTATAACAGTTATAAAATGGGGTATACAACTTCGGTGCGGCTGTATATGCATACCTTTGCCTCTGCGAGGTTAAGTCTTTACAATAATCGACACCAGCCAAACGACATCCCCTCAAATTAAGGTTGTTTAGCATAACTTCTGCGAATCGATCCGTCATATTAACCTGCACAAGGAAATGTAAGTAAATTAAAAATTGACCATTTCTTGATAACTACAAAATGAACACACTTGTTCATAATTCAGAAACAGCGAGGTTCGGAAATGATCATTAATCCACTTAAGTAAACTAGCTGACGCCTTGGGATCCATGTAGACTAGAACACACTCTGCAATAAAGATTGTGGGGAGATCGAATTTGATTCCACAACTTTGTAGCTTGGGTCCAAGCTGTGTAAATTATTAGACACGTTATAGCACATTATTTTCAATAATAGTTAATTATTAAAATTATATACTAACCTGATCCACATCTCGTAAGTCAATGCCAACAACGTGGTAGTCGAACGCATTAAGTTCATACTTGCTAATGCTAATTTCTCCGTCTGAAATTAGACCACGAAAAATTAGCTCAGCCTTTCTTACTACTGTCCATTTTAGTATTGCTTTTATAAGTAAAGTTTCAAGTACCATCATTGTTGAGAACTGCCAACAAAGCCATTGTATTCTTTATGTTGTGCACCTTCTTCATCGTTGTGGTAGGAAAGTCGACATCCACGAATGACGAGATCCTTATCTTGCTCCATTTTTCACGAATATGTCGATCATGTTTCAACCGCCAGTACAGCGTGTCAAAGCCACAACCCAAATTGATGATTTGGACTTCCGTCTCACAAACAGAGTTACTCCTACTTCTATTCCCCTCACCAGGACCAGCCTTTGGAATATATACCTGCACAATAGAATCATAATTTTAGTACACTTGCATTTGCATAATAATCATTCATTAGTTAGCTATTTACCACATCCGATGTCGCAATCTTCTCTAAAGTCTTGAGTATCAGCCTATACACTCCGTAAGTTCTGGCATAGTAGCCCCTATTGATCTCGGGAGGTTTTCGAATCACAGGTCCCCTCATAAAGTACTGAAGGAAGGGGTCGTTCCAATATCCTAGCTGGATGGCAGACCGTTTGCAAATGGAGGCGTCGTCATTGGTAGCTTGTACTGCTTCGTCCCCTTCTCCAAGGGTGTGATCCGGCGATGGAGGGACCGAGTGGGAGTGTGGTCCACCGTGGTGACTCAACCCAATCAGTGAACTCAGCCCGGACGAGGATCCTGAAGGAGTGAGGGGATTAGAATGCGGATGGGCGTGTGGGGGTGGCGATGGCGTCGTGGAGGGAGGTGGCATCGACATCTTGCTTGGCGCAGACAGGTCGAGTCAGATCGCAAATCACAACTATTTTTCTTAATCACGGTGTATTAAAAAACAATTGAAATAATACTGGTTCGGTTTCGTTCGGGCTTGATTGCGTATACTATTTAATTTTGTGTGCACTAAAAAACTTGACGGGTCGCTCTTTCTAAAGTCTCGTTTATCCTTTCCCAAGTTCTGATACTGTAAAACCCCCAACTTTTGATAAGTGGATATCCACCAACTGCTCCATCACGGTTCAATCAACAGCGTCAACAAGCAAACTTGACTAATTATTGATTGAAATCAATTATGTAAATTTGCGCAGCGCATAAAAAATAAACACGAAAACAAATCAAAATACACGACCCAACTATAACTCGAATCAAGTAGCGATCCGGTATAAACTTCGGTGTGAGAAGCGGACCAAGTTTTAGCAACGATTTTCAAATTATTTTCGAAAAAAACTGAATATTTTCATCAAAAATAATAAAAATTTCAGCTCCGTTGTTGACTGGACTAGCTGGACTGCTGATGGGCGACTGGAGTGGATGGCATAGAGCAGTCGATAATTAGACCGGCAGCGGGTGAAGGCTGCAATGCGGAGGCAAACCAACAACGAAATATTATCGTAAAAATAATATTGATTTTGTACCTGATTAATTAAAGTTAATTGATTATTAATTGTCTATTGCGGAGGAGATCTTATCGACATTAGATCATCATGACGTTACCGGTAGACCAAGTTTACCTTGAAAATTTGGAGGAATATATCTTTGATGATGAGAAATTCGTAAGTAGTTTAAAAAAAACGACATGTCGACGATGACAACGTTTTAAGGTTCGTTTACAGTGATAAGCTTTGAATTTATTGCAGGTTTCGTACAAATGGCTCAGTTGCAAGCTTGGGGTTCATGTGAATTTATCGAAGCAGTAAGAAATACATGCTTTATTTAGATTGACTTGTTTCCGAGAAATTGATTTTAGAATGGGTATTTTTTCAAATATGATTTCAGAATGCTCTACCAATTTCTAGAAATCCAGAAAGAAAAGGGCAAGAAAATCCATGCCATGTACTACATTTCCGGAATGGCTCCGCAGAAATGGATTTCAAAACTGAATTCTTCTGATGACGCTGGTTCCAATGGGTCATCAGCATCTTCCTCCCCGGAATTTGTTGAGAATAAGTCGCCCCCAGCGGATGAGGGTTCCCCAGACATGTTCCTCTTTGACAGCAGTGACGAAGAGGAGGATGACGACTTTGATGAGAATGGGGACGCCTTCATAGTCTCGATTTGCAAAGAGCAGGAAGTTGAAGAGTATCGAAAACACTTTTCGCAAATATTTTCACTCCACGTTTATGGGCTCAGCTCGTTTCCAATGACCAAACAGAGATTGGATGACTTTACCAAAGTTTCATTGTTTGATGACGACGGGAATGTGCCACAACAGTGAGTGGACCAAGTTTTAATGTATCTTTAAATGTGTTGTTTAAATTTTCTTAAAAAACTTCTTGGACTTGCGATTTGCAAGTTCCTGTGTCTCTCCTATATTATGTGGGCCATTTTTAAATTAAATTAAATCATTAATTAAATTTACAGTTATGGACCTATGGTGGTTAAGACAAACATTGAATTCAGACCTGATCCACGCAACGTTCAAAAACTGAAAGACATCGCAGAGGTGAAAGCAATGGTGAAAATACAGAAGGAAAAATGGGAGAAGGAAGAAGCATTGAAAGAACAGAAGAAGAAAGAAGAGGCTGCCAAGCCCAAAACGTTTAGTATTTTCCCTCAAACTACTACGTCAAAAAGTAAAAAGGAGGAAACGACGACCAAGAAGGATACAACTAAAAGTGGTGGAGGTGGAGGTGATAATCGATTAAAGAATATGTTTGCTGCGGCAGCAAGTAAACCCCCAGCGCCGAAAAAGATTGTCGAGGAAGAACCGAAAAAAGCTGACCCTCCAGTCAAAGAGAACAAGCGTAACACGAAAGAAGCCAGTGATGATGAAGGTACGAAAGGGGAATGAATGGGAATTTGGAGCGTCGTTGTATGGTGATTAGTTTTTTAATAACAAATTAAATTGTATTCTCTTTGCAGGATCTCCGTTCCAATCCAGGAGAAATAAGCCCAAAGGAAAGGGATCTTCTACTGCAAAGAATAAAAAGAAACAAAGTGAAAGCCAAAAAAGGAAAAGAATTCGCGACGTGTTTTCCTCTTCAGAAGACGACAGTGATACTGAGCGCAATGCAAAAATGTCGGATAATGAAGGTATGCTAACAGTTTAATTCCAAACTTGTACGATTGAAGTTGTTAACCATTGTATAATATTTGGATGGAAAGAACTTCCCGAATCTCCAGTTCCTAGGAAGTATCAAATTCAGTCAGACTCAGACTCAGACGACGCACAACCTGAACCGGCCCGTCCCAATAAAACTAAACAAGGTTCTAGTGAGGATAAAGTTGAGAAAACAGGAAGGAAGCGAGTATGTAAAACTGTTCCGCATCGCCACGTTGATGATGAAGGGTTTTTAGGTATGTCAGGATATATAATAAAATAAAAACAACAAACAAACTATGCAAGTTACTGTTAAATTATGACAGATTGAATGCATTTCCATCATTTAAATTCTAGTGACCGTAATGGAACAAGTGATGGTATCAGAGTCAGATCATTCGGAAGGGGATGAGCCAATGAACACTGACGAGGAACCAGCTCCTGTTCCCCGTGACATTGTGAAGAAACCAGAAGAACCATCCAAAACTTCCTCATTGCCAAAGTCAAAGGAAGTTCCAAAGCCTGCGGCGACAAGCAAAGCTGCCAAGGGAAAATCTGCTGCTGCCGGAACATCAAAGCAAGCATCTATCATGTCATTCTTCAAGAAAAAGTGAGGGCTTCCGGTTCATGCAGTGACCAATCATCATCTGACTGATTATATTCAACGTATTTCACAAACAAACCAAAACCACGAGTCTTACAATTCTTAAAATTTATTAAAAATTCAATTTTTGGAAACCTTATAAATATTGTAGTTTGACAACGTAAAAAAACTTAAGTTTTGTTCTGTATTACTTTTTCTATAAGTTATACATACGCCATCCAGTTTTCTGCTAGGGTTGATTCGAATCTATTCAAGCTGCTGCCATTCGTAGAGAAGTGCAATTTCAGCAAGATTGATTTACAAGTTTACAAATCAACTTGCAAGAATAGGATCAATCTAAACATTTGATGAATAATTGACCATTATAAAAGTTACAAGGTTATTATTAAGTAAAGTTAATGCATTTCATAATCAGCTCTACTCTCTTGTCTGCTACTTTAATTCACTACTCTATTACCATCTCTTTTATGTATTTAATTCAATCTATTTTTGCCTCAACTTTTTCAACAGGCTAATAAACCGATGTATTATCGATGAACAAAAGGACACGTGATTAATTCAATCTCGCATTATGCATACTTAATTTACAATAATTCCAATTCACATATCCCTAAAAATCTTCAAAACGTAGCTAGCTACATAAATAGATAATAAACTGCACCACAAATTCAGGTCGTCGTTTTATGTCAATTAATGCCATCCTATCAATTCTGCTTCATTTCATACATTGAAATAATTAAATTACACTTTTTAGTCTTTGTCAAAAATGGATTGAAGATAAGTACTTATTTCAATTACATGATGATTGATAACAAGACGTGCTCAATCTCACCTAATATTTATAACAGGCTAAACTCGATTCATTTACTAATTTTTACTACAAATACTTTCATTTTAAGTATAATTAGGTAAAATTTCAGTTCTTCGTGTCTCAGATTTTAGAATGCATACATATCTTTCAAATTTAATTAACCTTAATTAATTACATAATTTTTCATATCAGAGATCTTCACACAGTTTTTGATTTCAAGTGATTTCAAGTTTTCAGTGAAAGATATCATGCAAATTCGTAGGTATTTTCTTCTTCTAACTGCAAATATAAGTTAACTAAACCATAAAAAAATTCTAATTTACTAATTTATTAAAACCTTACACATTTAATCAATTATAGCAGCTCGTATTTAGCACAACTCATTTTTTTACACAGTGTTCTTAATTTACACAAGATAATGCGATTGACAAAAACTTTCTCCAGTTATTATTTCTTTAAATATGTAATTAATTAACAGATATTACGATAATAAATTGATTGAAGTGAGATAAATATTATTACAAGTTTTTATGACATTATGATGTCAATCCAGTTCAGGAGGAACACTGATTGGTGTCATATCATCATGGTTTGGGTTGATTCAAACGAAATTTCCCATCGTCTCAATAATTATGAAGTATTTAAGTAAACGATAAACCTGCCGATTAAAAAATAAATAATAGAGAAATACTTTTTTTAACAAAATGACTGGTGCAGGTAGGTATATTTAAATTATACATTTACATTTCTAGGAAATTCTTGATGGAGAGAAAATAATAAGTTAACCTGTTTTCCACACTATTTAAAAAAAGAACGGAAAGAAAATAAATTCAAAATAATGAGAAAAAAATATGTATCATGATTTTATCTAATTGTTCCATCCATCTTCTTAAGTGTTGACTGACCGTTCATGCATTAAACATTGCTTCCTCGCGATAAGTCTGTAATAATTAAGGGTTGATAAATTATTAACTTATCTTTTACTGTTAAAAATTGCAATTTGCATACCTATGTATTCTGAGAGATCGTTCCAAACTTGAGATCCGTGCAGCGCATCGAGCGACGCATCCTTTTTTCTCCAACTTCTTTTCGCGTCTTGTAAATTTATCGAGGTTTTCTGGACAAGAAAATTACAAATTTTTGAAAATGATAATGAAAGTAGTGAAATTATTGAAATTACGAAATTGCTTAACTTAATTACTTTCATTAGTTGCGCCGAGCAGGGTAAAAGTCTGTCTGGTCTTTATCTCATTAAAGTCAGGGAGAGATATATACTTTGTGGAAAACTGTGTAATTTCGCCATCTCTTAGCGTCCATTCGTGTAGATCGACCTGTGGGGACGTGTTGCGTCGCTGCTTGATGAATGCAAAGTTGACCAGTTCCGTATTGTTCAGCCCGATGCCGTGCGATCGGAGAGCGGTCACTTCTTGTTTACCAGAAACGCACATTTTCGACCCGTCTAAATAATTCAATATATAAGTAAATTAAGCTTTGTGATTTAGTATGTACAACTTGAGATATGGGTTACCATTGCTTATCATTGAGGTGCAAATTGGGCAGCAGTGACCCTCCACCTTGACCGGTTTTGCACACGGGAGTTCCTTCTTTGGGGGGCATTTTAGACGGCCACAGTCAATCTGTCCTTTCATACACTTGCATACGACACACTCCATTGTTCCGAAGGGACCAATGACTGGGTGCCAGGAGGATCCGTGCATGTAATATCTGAAAAAAATGCATATGTCATCGAAATGCTAATAAAATAACGTGTTTCTTTTCTTGTGGGCTTGCTAATTTTTGGCAACCCCAAAGGAAGAAATGCGAGGTGCAAGAAACTGGGAGAAAGTGCAAATATGCGCAATCTAGCCACGCGCCCTACAAAATACAGCGGGCGGGGCATAGTTTCCTGCGCCTTGCATTTCTTGCAGGTCAAAATACCTCCAAGAAACCACGTTCTTCCCGTTATTTCTTGCAAGCGTTTGTTACTTTCGCCCGAAACACTGCTAATAAAATAAAAATAACCCATCGTCTCATCTCACCTCCCAGCCGAAACACAGTCATCAAACTGACTAGTTTTCTCCTTGTTGCCTCCTCCTCCTCCAACACTACTCCCATCAAGATTATTACTCATCGTAATACTGCTCCCACTTCCGGGCGGAAATGCTCCCCCATCTCGAAACGTGATGGAACTCTCAATCGACCCCGAAGAGCCACTCCCACCCTCATCAACAGGTCGTTGGGTCTGGTCTCCGAAACGGTCCTTGGTCACGGAGAGGCTCGAATCACCCCCAAAACCGAGGGACGGTGGTGACCTAGCCTTCGGATAGTCGAGGTCCCCACTGTTTGAGGTCTGGTGCTGGTGAATAATGTTCGTGTTGGACTCCGACCCGCGTGGCTTTCTCCATGCTGTGAATGAAAAAAAGGCGAATAAAGTATTATCATTGAGCAATAATAAAGCAGAAAAGTGGAGCAAGTTTCACTCATCAGCAGAAATAAACTACTTTACGGGCAAGTTCTCAGACACGATAATTTTATGCTCTCGCATCCCCGAATAAATTGTGCTCTGGCACTAATAATCCTGTCAATGGAATGGAGATCAAGTGTAAGATCAGAGACCATGCACCGACAAGATTACTCACTTAGTTAGAGTAGTAGGCCACGTTCCTATGTATGTATACGGATGAGATTAATAGATTCGGTAAAAGTTTAACCGTCTCAAAGTCTAAGATACGATTTGAGCTGAGACGGACGGACGTATTCGGGGAAAGCAGACAAGAGTCAGACAGCATTATCAAGTGTGCACGTATCATCCGCATGGATGTTGTTGGCTGAATACCTTTGTGTATATGTACGGTATTGTAATTTTACTCTTTTTTTCTTTACTCTGATATTTCGCAATTTGTGCATTTTCGCAAAGTTTATAGAGTAACTATCTGCAAACTCGTGGTGGCAGTGATGTTGTAATCCGTACTCCGGCGGCGGCATGATTGATTGATGATGAGAATATTCAGATTCAGTGAAATTTCTCCTCTTTAGCTTTACTATTTTTTATGGGGTTTTGTGTATCTATTTCAATCTGCAAGTACGTGCTTTCACTCTGCTCTTTGCCTGCCTCCGATCCGACCCAATTTTACTCACTGTACTATTTATTTGGGGCATGATGTATATACAGTTTGTCAGTTTGTTAGTCAAACTTTCACTCAAACCTGGACTGGATATCTATAAAAAGAAGAAAAGCCAAAGTCATTCACTCAGTCAGTCAGTCAGTCGTCGGCACGTCTGGTGGCTAGAAAAGTAACGAGATTCACCATATTTATGTAAAAAAAATGTGATTGTATGCACGTGCATTATTGAGAAATATGACACCTACACGTCTACAAACTTGGCTTTGTTAGTACAAATAATTCCGAAGATTGGGAAATGTTTTTATTCTGTTTTCAACTTCCTCGACACGTTTACAAGTTAACAAAATTGCTGTCAAGATATGATCTCGACATGATTTTCACTGTCTCCACCAACTTTCACCCGAAGCAAATCATGTACATACATACACAGTTCCATAATCTGTGTAACATCACGAACGAAAAGTGACAGCAGCAGCATTATCGGGGTGGGTGACGCATCCGAGTGAAATCTACCCCAATCCAGCCACAACATGTATACATACATACAGATACATGCACCCACCCAACTGACAAAAAATGCCACCCAAAAACCTGGTCATTAAACCCTCCCACCCACCCACGCACGACCCCTACAACCGATAGGAAATCCAGTATTTTGATTGAATTCAATTTCCCATCAATCCTCACATCCATCCATCCGTCTATCCATCATCAACTACTAAATCTCGACACACTATTTAAAAGAACAGGAGCGAAGAAGGCAGGCGTTCGTTTCTTGTTTGTCTGGCTGGTCCTTGTTACGAGGGTTCCATTAGTAATCCACCCTGCCAAACCAGGCTAGCTGCCCTCCTCTTTTTCTCAAGCCTTAGTCTCGATATAAACTGTAAAAGAATGATTACAAAGAGAAATAATGGGATGGTTCTTCCCGTACCACCAGCAGCACCAGTTTGTGTACGTATGTATCTAGTTTGTAACACTGTTTGACGTCAATTCACTACTACTGCATTGATAAATGTTCTTATCCGTCCACAATTCACGAACGAGGTAGGCACCTATCTGGTACTACACTTCATTCAACTATTCCATATCCGGTCGTGTTAGGTATTACGGTGGTGGGGACACTGTACATACAAATTGTGTAAGGAGAAAGAGACAGGGATTGTGTAACCCTGTGCATATGCTTTCTCCTCAAGAATGCGTCATCCGTATACATACGCAAACGGAGAGGGTCTTCTTGGCGTCTCTGGTTTGGTACGCGAGGACATTATTAAAAATGTTAAGAGTGGTTGTGGTTCGATTTGGAGGAAAAAGAGTTTCACTTCATTACTAATCCGCCGCAACACGGAGAGAAGAGCGAGACCGGCTTAAAAGGTTCAAAGCACCCTGCCTGACATCCCTCGCCCCCTATAAGACTGACAGAAAAGGCTTGTCTGCCACCAGCCATTCTTGCCAGCGATGTGTGGGTGGATTGGATGGATATATTGGATTCCTACAATACGACCACGACAACGACGACGACGATGTCGACGACAACGTCGAGGAGCAATGTGATGATAGTGAGTGCGCTACTGGTGCGGATCGGATATGAGGGAACGACTATTAATCTAAGCTGGGCAGCAATTGCTTTCTCTCTCTCTCCTTCTTTTTTTAGAGGTGAGTGAATCACTTATGCACTCCATTAAGCGTTTGTTATTAGTTGATACGTACGTACAGCTGCCTATGTCGTCGTGGGCAGTATGCGTATATCGAAATCTGGTCTGAGGGGAAAGGCACATGATGTTATGAAACCATGACCTATCCCACGACGTAGTTGGTTGGTTAGCTAGACGAGAAAAGTTTTAGCACACAATGTATCCAATCCACACACACACAAACACATGCAATGCAAAGCTTTTTCTTGCACGAATGCCGCCAACGTCTGTCTGTCGAGTTATTCTATAATAAGCTAAAAGATTGTAATCAATCATCCACTTGAATCGTTTCCAGCAATTTTTTAGAAGATTCTGATTCGTTCCTCTCTCACTTTTGCGTATTTACAGCAGACAAATGTTTAGCAGGATTTCTTTTCTCACTTCTGTGAAAAATATGCTTAAACAAAGTCAATCATGGGGCAACGGATGGAAAAGAGCAGCTCAACCCACAGACAACGCCACGCCACAGACCATAAGCCATTTGCTATTAACGCTAACTATGATAAGTAAAAGTGAAGGCGACGACGTGAACGTGGTGGATACGAAGACCGAACAGATTTTTAGCTCTGGTGCATTTTTTATGATCTAAATAAGTGACGTCCGTCCGACTTTGACCATGATTCTCGTTTTCGTTTTTCTTGACGATTAGCAACACCAGCAGAAAGGTTGCGGAGATATGTAAATATACACACTCACGGCGTTACTATCGGTTAGGTTGGTATTTAGTGAAGTGTTTATATTAAAGGTTACCGAGGAGCAGATGTAGGATAACCTGTGTCATACGATACAGCCATAATAAATACCGGGACAGACCAAAGACATGTTCTCCGATAAGTACTTATTTGCTGATTGGGTCTGGTTCTGGTTCGTGAATATGACATGACGTTACCCGATATTTTCACTGATTCAATCCCATCTTAAATTTTTTTGCTCTCACGACTTACGACTTACGACACTGCAGTGATGATAAGTGTGTGCGTGGGTGGGTGGGTTGATTTATCACGCCTTTAATTTGTGACGGATGCTCTCCTCTCTCCTCTGATGGATATTTGGATGGAGGATAACGACGACGAGGATGATGATCATGACGATGATATGAAATGAATGAAACGCAGTGCAATTTCCGACTTTTGGACGTCACCTTTCATTCATTTGTGCCGACGTGTTTCAGAAACAGAGAGCATTCCATTGAACCCTCGGGACACAAATGCATGTGTTGTCGGCTGCTTGTTACATTATAAATTATTATTGAAATTTACTACACGGGCGAAATTTCCGTGAGAATTTGTGAGAACTCTTTGGAATGAATGAGGTGAAGTATTTATTGCCAATTTGGCGGAGACTTTGGGGAGAAACACCTACGTACACAAAACAAACGCTTCTACATATTTCCCAATTGTCTCCTTTACTTTATCCATCCAGGAATCAGGCCGCGGAAGCCGTGGGGACATTAACATTGTGGGATAGGGGAGGGCGGGGTTTATATAAGATGGGGAGATGATGGGGACATCGAACAACCGTGGGGACATTGTCCCCACACTTCCGCGGCCACTGATTGTGTATCGAGTGAGCCACGAAAAATGGTGAAAACACGATACATACATGAGAGAAAGTTAGTAACCAAAGATAGCAGAGAAAGTACGCTGAGGGGCTAATGGATATACGTCCGTTGAATTCCGGACGAGAAGAAGAAAGGTTTAGGAAACAGTAAAACTGGTTTCCGTCGGAAATATTAATGGGCGAGGGTAACAATAAAGGCTAAAAGTGATGGTGATAATAATGGCATATTGTAGTCCTGGGTGGGTGGATGGATGGATGGATGGGTGACTATTATTATAACGTGATCCGGTCTTCTTGCATGCGGGGACGGTCTGATTATTTTATGAGGTTCGGCTAAAACTGGAAATATTTGGCCATTTTCCCTTTTCCATTTCTAAAAAAAACACACAACTTTCCCCAGACGAAGAGAAAGTGGTGGATGGATGTTTATTTATTTTGAAATTGGGACATTTATAGATCCCATCGCAATTTGGTGGATGGGTGAATCATCCTGTGGCATTTGCCATTTATCAATAATAATCAGTGAGTGACTGAGTGACCAGTTGGGCAAAAGTGGAGTGGAGATAAAGATATATAAACAACAACCTGTTATTCCTTCAACAACTGGACTGGACTAATTAGGCTTGACCTTTACATCAGCCAGCCCACTACCCTCCATTGTCATGTCATGTCCAGGCCTACTTTCTCCCACCATGAACGAAACATCCCGCCCGTAGATACATGGAAAAGGCCTTGAAATTCAAATGTGACCTAAATACCCGCATAATTGTGTTAGTGGTGGTGCGTATGAGCACATAAATGTATTTACAACAACGTTCCTCCGATGGCGTGATGTGAGCGTGTCGTAGATTTCATAAACAACAAAACAATCCAATCCAAATGCGCATTTCGTACAGTCTGCCCCCACAGAATCACTTACTCGAATCGTGCCTCATGACGAGTGAGTGACTTTAAGAGTGACAACTTCCCACGCTTTCACCCAATTTCGCTCAGTGAGTCAGATAACGCAGAAAATCTAGTTAAGCTGGTAAAACTAAAGTACATACACAGCTGTAGGCAGACTCAGGTGGGTGGTCCGATCTGTCCTACAAAAAGTCAGTTGCAGAGTGGGTGATGAATTTCTGTTTGCCGGTAATAATATTTTTCCGATTTGCGCATCAGTTACGATTTGGCAAGTACATATCAACTTGCAATGCAAATCTGTATGCATAAAAGCGAAACTGAGTAGATTTTGGAACAGGTTGTATCAACAAATCTCAAATTATTCACAACGCACTTTCCTCTTTGTTTACTTTACCTACCCCGGATCAGTTCTACTACATCTTCGCCTACCTCCTATCTACTACCGTCGAGAGGAAACTTATTTGTACGAGTAGAGAAAGAAAGCATCATCACACGCAAGGGAAAATAATGATCCATGTCTCCCACAATTTTTGCTCGTATTTATCTAAACCTACGCAGAATTCTCGTGTCTCGTCTGGTTAAGTGTGATGTTGATGTTACGCAACATTTAGCAATATTTTCGCCAAAGTTCTGTATGTATCCTTCTTCTACCACTTTTCTGGTAAAACTGCTTCCTTTCTTTGCTTCCTAAATGTATGAATAGTTTCTTAAAAGGAACAGAAAAACGGAGGAATTGTGCAGAAACTATATCATTTTGCCCCATGTTTTAGCTTTGGCTTTCTTATTTACAAGATTTACATTAACACGTCAAGGGCAAGTCATTTGTAGATACGTGGATCTCCTTCTTCTGGATTGGAATGGATTGGAAAGTGCATCGCATCACGGGGCTGATGGAGGAGAAGAAAGTGAAAGCCATAAATTACTGGGCATGCATCGTGTATGTTTATCCACTAGTCTATGCATTTACTAAACGCACCCACGTTACGGACACAAAAATACATATGTACGGCACTCCTGGGCTTAAAAATCCCCCCATTTCGTGTATAATCAAACTATAGCTAACAGTGCGTTGTATGTATGCAAGTCGATGGACGTATCTATATTGTTATATTGCGAGGCAATAAATATTTAGTGGTTGTGCGGAAGGAAATCGATGAGTGAAAGTAAAAGTGCAGAATTGAACCGGGTTGGGTTGCATCTGTTACGTACGTAGACTTCATTTTCCTGGGTTTTGTACCATGTTCCATATTTTATTTGGTACTAATTTCCATCTGTTTACAGAATCTATCTACTACTTTTCCAGAAATTAGTCGAGTCTTATCGACTAGCATGAAGAAATTGAAGGTTCTTATCGACTAGCATACATAAATTTGGAGGTATAATTTGTCAAGAAGGAATGGAACGTACCGATGTATACACCATGTCCCATTATTATTATTAAGAAAGGAGGCGAAATGTAGCCTTGCTTGGTGAAAGAAGCAGTCATGATCCACTCTAAAATCCAATCCACCCACCCACCCCGAGATCTTGTATCTCATCGCTTCCTCCCTCGTGAAAGGTTGTTATTTAGCTGATCGCCCAATAAAGGTGATCATTTATCATGCTTTCTTCACTCGAGTTCAGTCACTTACGACGACGACTATGTACCTACTACGACGCATTTTTCCGAGGGGACGATAAAAAACAAACGCATCTTCTCCTCCAATCTGGGCCTTCTACTCTAGATTTTACTGGTGAAACCAACCGATAAATTTTGTTCGAATCATGTACTCGCAAAACAGAAAATTTGTGGTGGGCACAACGATACAAAGAAAGTAAATAAGCAGAATAAGTAAGGAGGAGACCCCGTCGTGCCGAACTTTGTCCTCCCGGCGAGCATGCTGATGACGGAATCATTGACAATGAAAAATAGATTTGGTCACACGCACCTTACGCCACGCTCGTAGGATATGCGTGTTATGCAATTTGTTTGTTTTTCAAAGGGACGATGATGTAGTATTTAGTCAGTTGCTGGAGGAGGAGGAGGATGGTAAAATTGATGGAAAATAAGTATGTTACGCAATGTTTTCCTAAGTTATACCACCACCACGAAGACCACTACTACGAAAGACAGAATAATGGATGGATGGAATCGCAAGGTGTGGATGGAGAGGGATTGATGAAAAATAAACGTATGGAAATACGGGGCACGACACGCACCCAATTTCCTTCCGGTGGTGGTTTGGATGGTTTGTTTGTTTGGACAAGTTTTTTTTATTCATTCCAATTTTGGAATGTTTTCGCATTTCGTCCAGTTCACCTTTTGTACGTAACACACTTTTGTCTCATTTTCTATTTTCTGTGTGTTTTCAGGTCATGCTTTCTGCCGATATACGTAACGAGTGACGATTGTTGTAAAACCAAACGAACTACCAGCTTGAAAGGTTCTACTTCTTAAAAAGATTGGGTCGTTGCTTAAAAATACTACTACTGTGGTGTAAATGAAATTTGTATAAAAACTCAAACTTTAATTTTACTCACATCGAGCAATAACAAATCAATTTATTTAATTATTTCAATTTAATTAAATACTAGACAAAACCTTTACTCTTTCTTGATGCTCTCTCGCATACATACATTCACCTACTCACTGACAAAAGAAAGATCTGGAAAAAATGCTGATACCACCAGCGCTCAATTTAAATTCTTGGGGAAAAATAAGACTATGAATTCAAACAACGATATATAATAGTTTCTAGACCGACGTTCCGAGTGGCATTTACGCCAAGCAAGCAGTGGCCGCGGAAGGGGTGGGGACATTAACATTGCAGGATAGCGGAAGGAAGGGGTTTATATAACATGGGGAGATGATGGGGACATCGAATAACCGTGAGGACATTGTCCCGCAGCCACTGCGAAGCAACTAAATGTCACAGGTACAATTGCACACAGAGAAAAAATCTAGTATAACTGATTGATTAATTATCTACCTCACTCGCACATTCACTTTTATTTGTTTCATGATAACACGCGACACAGCTCTCTAATAAGGATGACGTACATACGTATAATTCGTCACCCGTCCTATTTTTGTGCGTATCCAGGACGGACGGAATGGAATAATGATGGGAAAAATTGAGTCGTTATTAGGACAAATTATTGTTATTTTTTCCCCTGCGTGGGTGTTGGATGGAGATATTGAATCACAGACTGGGAATGAATGAAAGTAATTTTGTTGTTGTAAAAAATTGCGACATTTGTGAGCAAAGTTTTCTAAAAATACGAATAAGTTAGAAAAAAGTTCTTTAATAATAGGACGACTTTTGACTTTCAGAGAAAAATATAATTTTAGGGGGAGATGTTGCCGAGTCGTAATTAGTGTCGTCGTTACGATGTCAGGTTTGTATTTTGGGAGGTATCTAGTGGGACAAGGTCGAAGGACAATAAGTATCTTGGGATGTATGTATGTGGAATAATTGGGGGAGCGAAGTTTTGCTGTAGGGCACGACGTGATTTTAACAAAAAATATGTCGGACAGATATTTATGGAATGGACTTGTCAAATGAGAAGGACTGAATCTTTTGTGAATTAAATCTTGTGACTAGGACTGCCAATGAGTTGAGTTGAGCTGAGTTGAGGGTTAACTCAACTCAACTCAATAAGAAAAATCACCGACTCAAACTCAACTCAAGAGGAGAAAACTGGCCTTAGAGAAAACCCGCAGTAAATTACATAATTTAGACTAATTATGTAATTTACTGCGGGTTTTCTCCTCTTTGGATGCAAATATCTCTGCCAAACCTGTACATTGGCAGATCGTGTCTATTGAAAATGTATTACAAATTTGTAATCAAATTTGTGATTAAATGTCACTAATTTGACAAAAAATCGGAGATCATACCCTGAAAGACGTCTATTGCACGTGCTAGTTAAATTTTGTAGGGTAGCCTAGACTCTAGACCTTGACTCGGTCTATTTAAAGGTACCAAATTAATCTCGACATTTCATCTGGACAGAGGATACAATAAAGCAGTCTTTTCTCCAACTCTGGTGCATTCATTCTCTTCTCTTGTAGTCCTGCAATTTGACCAGTGCAGTGCATGCACACCCTGCATGTTTTTTTCAATGGTTCCTTTCTTTCTTCCTAATTCCATCATCCACTCTTTTCAAGCCTTCTTAAGTCTGCCGTTTAGCTATTGAGGACACAACCTCGAATCGGATTCCAGCAGGAAGAAGAAGACGAAGCAAGTCTCGATTCATTCATTCATTCAACGCCCACATCAAAGTTCATTCATTGTGGAATCCTATCCGACCACTTTCTTCTTCCCCACTTTGTCCACCACTTGAGTTCGATTTAGTGCTAAACACTAAACTGTGCAATACCACGACAAAAGCCAACACATTAAACAATATGTCACCGTTTCGTTATATAAGTCTAAAAAAAGTTCCACCAAGTTGGTCTTGAAGCTATGTACAAATTTCTAAATATTTTATTTCCTCGTGGAAATGAGACGGATTAAACAAGCGTTTAAATGGACGTGACTTTTATAGGTTAAAAGTAAGTAAGACACGAGACAGGAAGAGTTAACACGTCCCTTTTTCAACATGATTTCCCTCCCACTAATGGATGAACAGAGACCAGACGGTCCTCAATTACGTACAGTTGGCGAAACCAATCTGCCATTTGTCTACGAGCCGATAAGTTAAGCTGAGCCGGTACACTCTTTTTTGGTAAGTACTAATGTGTGTATATATACGTGATATCGTCGTCGTCATCGATAAGGAAAATAGGCTAAAGAGGAATGATCTCTCTTACCTGCACATCGTTGACAGCAGGCTTCAATGCTGGACTGGCTGGACGCCCCGGCAGCCCCACCCGGACCGAAACTGGACGTGAGGGAAAATCCGCTCGAACTTGAACCACTCCCACTGCTCGAACATTTAAAGGAGGAACATGCCTTCATCTGACAGAGGACCATGCCCGTCTGAAATTTTAATAATTCTCATTATAAGACCTTGAAATGTGTACAAGTCAACGTATTGATTGCCGACTATTATACTACCTGACACATGCACTGCATACATTGATCCGTGGCCTGAATCGGTAAACCGCTAACATTTGCAGTGAATGATTCCCCATCTCGATAGATTTTTCCTTGGTGGAGACCTACAAATTAAATAATTTTTCCTAAATGTTTTATTTTTGAAATAATTTTTGAAATAATTTTTAATTACAAGAGACAAATTCCGAATTCTCCGTGACCAAGTCACCATCCTCGTCTTCCTCTTCGCCAGATTCTGGATCGGATGCCGTAACGACGCCGCCACCACTGAAGGATTGTGCTCCACCCCCGCCACCCGCGCTCTGAGACGAGTCGGAATCTCCTGTACGGAAGTACATTAGGAATTTTATTTGGCTTTACTTTGGAGAAAAATAGTGAGAAAACGAAGAAAAAACTTCTTACTTTCATCGCAAACTTTACAACACGGATGTTTCAAGTGACTCGGACGATCGAGGTGACAGTCGGAGGGACATTCTTGCTTGGTGCAGTTTTGACGCCCAGTCTAAAAATTAAGTTTGCCAACATTATTTATCATGTTTGAAAAGGTCCCCGGTCAACATGCCAGCAAATGTTTTTTTTAGGAAATATGCATTTTTTTACCGAGAGACACGTGCAAATTATGCAGCTTGATCCATACGAGATTGACGACGTGGGGTACCAAACATCGCCTGGAGCATACTCCTTGTTCCGGAAACGACAAAACACTTTCTCCGGGAGGGACTGGCTGTGGACGCCTAGAGAAAAATGGGAATACAAATCGGTTAATATTCGTATAATAATGAAACGCATCAATTCGGTGAAGATGAGACTACTCACTCAGAAATCATCTCTAAAATGTATTTACATAACCACCCTTTTATTTCTGAGAACAAAATTTACTGACAACTCTGGACTCACGGATTTTTCCCATTTATTCGCTCGCATCTTGTTGACAACAAGAATCAACAATACCAGGAAATTCTGTCACGACCTAATTTCTATCTCTCATCCGGAACATACACATTTCTTGCTTGTGTCTTTCGTTCATATAAATTTCCATTTCTAATCTGTCTCATCATGATGAGACTCTCATCTCGAAAAATTAAGACAGTCTCACTTTCCCCAAAAATCAGTAAGGACATTTTTCTTGGAAAAAGGTGTTTTAATTACGACCTAAGATATTGCTTCGCACTTTTTCCAATCAACATGATGAACATTCTTGGAAAATCGTGCCTCTTTTCCTCCTTCCTTATCACGTATTTACATTCTCCTACGTACTTCCGCACTCTACGTTCGTATTATTGCGAGCAGAATCCACTTGATATATGCAATCTGTCCCTCTACATGCTATGTCCCGTTCTACGTACATTTGTACATATGCACAGAAAGCCGTACAGTTTTTGTTTGTCGCCTACTCCTCCGGACGGTCTGTGTCTACGCCATAAAATAAAATAAAATGAAATAAGTCGACATAGTCAACAGCAGCACAACCATGACCGTGGCTTTATACGTATGTACAAATTCATATCTATACTTTCACTACAGTGGATTGACTCTTTCTCGCTCGCATTAAAATTTGTACTTGTTCCACTACTACTGACGGACAATGGAGGTCTTTCAGTGTATGCTCTCCGATTTTGAGAAAAGTGTCGCTAGATCACAAATTTAGTTAGTATGAAATTCGCAAAAGGCACGATCTGCAAATTCTTAGGATTGGCAGAGATATTTGCATCCGAAGAAGAGAAAACCCGCAGTAAATTTGGAAAGTGTAAAATTTGTCACACCTTCCCCTCTTCGGATGCAAATATCTCTGCCAAACGTGCCCATTGGCAGATCGTGTCTTTTGTAAATTTAATTTTACTTAAACTTGCGATCGATTTACACTGGTTTCCCCAAAATCTGAGAGCATCCGCTGGGAAACCTCCCTTCTGAATGTATGTAGTACTACTGGTGTGTAGTACGTAATAATAAGTGGAGAGATTATGAAGACATTGGAATTTTATGTGTTTTGTTTGATGTGATACATTATTAGGGATATAAAGAATAAAAGTCTTATGCAATCATGTAGGGCTGGGATGGATGATGGTATTATCCGACAGGGTTATTATCCTGCCGAGCTTGTTCATTTGGACAATTTCCCAGTTTCTTATCTCACTTATGGAAATAATGGACGGACCAAAAACAAGAGAAAGTTGTGTCCTCGTCGAGTGGGCTCTATACCAACGTACGTACGTTCCCAGCCAAGAGACGTATTAGGTATTAGTGTTAAGTTTTGTGTAATCAAGAGAGATAGATGTGCAGTATGTAAGGCAGTAAGTTAGTTCTGGCTGGAAGGAGAGTGCAGTCTGCTGCATCCCACTTTTTTATGGATGTAAAAGGCACAGGACAAACAATCACCAATGTTCCTGCTAAAAATTTTCGCAAGTAAATGCGCAATTTCGAGCTTTATTTTTGCATCGGATTTTTAATGAAATATGAAAAATTTCGAATCCGCACGTGTTAAATCGTCCACTTTCACCCTGAACGGATCAAGAAGGACAAATCTACTAACACTTTTCGCAAGTACCAAAAATGCGCAATTTCGAGCTTAATTTTTACATCGAATTTTAAATGAACACGGATTTTTTGAAAAATTTCGAAAATTTCGAATCCCTACGGGTTCAATCGTCCACTTTCACCCTGCCGGATGAAGCTAGGTATGCCTGCATGGATGCACACTAGCGAAACGGAAAAAAGGCCCAAAGTCAGCAGCCAAAGAAGAATAAGGGCTGGTAAAAAATATAAAAATTGCATGCATTCCGTCCACAATATGGCTTCGACTTGTCCCATTTCATTGCTGCAACGCAAGGCCGTCTCCCCGAAAGAAGGAGTGAGATATCTTGGACAGCCTCTGATAGAGAGGAATTAGATGATAACACCATGTGCACTCATCCTTGTGTAGCAAGTAAGCATAACTCTGTGACTTTCTTTTTCTTCTACTTTTCTCCTCCTCGCTTTCCAATAGTTTTTCTACGAAATATTCTTCTTCTTGTTTCATCATAAAGGAAAATGAAATGCAATTTGGTTCAGGCGACAGGAGAGGAATTCTTCTTTTACTTATTTTTTGGCTGCGAGAGGCCCGGCCTTGTTCTGGCACAATCAGTACATAAAATTGAGGCCTGCTTTCTTTCTCTTTACTTTCTCTTTTTCTTTTTGTCCTTATTTCAGATAAGAACAGAACAGAGCGGAACAGGACAGACGAGAACGGAGAGTCAGCATCAGGCACGACTTGGAATGAATGTCGGATGCAAGGGAACGTCATTCCGTTTTGGTGATTGCGAGAGATGATGTTGTTTGCAATTTTGCCCGGCTATATGGCCTGCATAGTTAGCTGGTAGTTACAGTGGCCGCGGAAGCTTGAGGGGACATAATATCCCTACGGGTATTTCATGTCCCCATCTTCTACAAACCCCGCCCTCCCCATCCCCCAATGTTAACGTCCCCACAACTTCCGCGGCCACTTCTAGGACAATATACAATCCGAGGTGAGGTGGTTGTACTCATGAAGTTGGCGAGCTCGTGGAGGAGAAAGCCGGTGAAAGTGGTTTTTCTCCTCGCCTTCTTTCTTTTTAAGACTTTTTTGGCACGATTTTTTCCCCTTGATGTGCTTGCATATCGAAAAATACATAAAAGGTTGGAAGACTTGCTGCAAGTAAGACGTGCAATAATTGATTCGATTTTGATATTTGTGTAAAGGGGGAAGAAAAAGAAATGCTATGCATACATGAATAGTGTCGAGTTATTCGAGCGGAATAAAAAAGGTCTCGTTACGTAAGACGGGAAAGAAACACATAAAGCTAAATAATGGGAATGCCAACGAACCAGTATCTCGTTTTGAGGCATGCACTGCTGAACAGGGAGAAGAAAACCTGGTACAGAAAAAAAAATTACTTTTGCCCATAAACCAGAACCCAGGATTGGCAATCAATCTGTAAAATTTTCTGGGAACAAATTTTGCCTTCGGTAAATCATAAATTCTAAATAAGTAAACTGAAAAGAGGGCATCATGACCTAGGACAAGGAGGCAAAGGCCTTCATAAAATGGGTGAGGTTGACTTTCATGAAGGATGAAACTAACCCAGGGCAATATTTTATACGCCAACCTTGATGGACTATGACTTGCTACCTGTCATGTCATGCAATCGACGACTTGCTGCAAATTTAGCTGCAAATTTAGATATTCGCTTTTATGGGTCGTTTCTGGGAGAGAAAGGATCACTCAAATTTTGATGGTTTCTCATCCTCTCTCGGGGATAATTTGAAGTGGAGTTGGGACCATCAAAGGAGAAGTTTAGGATTTGAATCAGAAATCAATCGATGGTGGATGGATGACCTGGAAAATTAATTAATTTCTGAAGATCAACGAGAATAATGGGCAGTGTTTCGGGTGAAAGGGACCACTTGCAAGAAATAAGGGGGGAGAAAGTAATTTCTTGCACCTCGCATTTCTTGCATTTTTCATTTTGCAGCGCAAAAAATGTATTTCGCAAATCCACAAGAAACCCTGTAAATGCCCCCAAAAAATCCCATTTCATAATCTTTGACGCCTCTCTAGGACCATGTAAGTACATCCCTGTTTTTGCCAAGTACACTTTCCCCGGATTAAAAATTCTACCCGATTTCTTACTTTTTCCCCAACAACATTTAATAGTTGTTGTGTCTGAAAAGTTTGTAGGACAATTTCCTCGTAGAGACGATGAAATTGGCAAGGAATTCAACTCCAACTAAAGTAAAATGTGATGTGGATATGACGTTTGAATAAATGGTCAAGTTGTGAATTGTTTAGCATCCAAACAACTGCGTATTTCCTACTACCGGTCTGTCGTGTCCTTGTCTGGTCTGTCTACTACTTACATAAGTTTTAAGCCGATGCGACAATCGTTTGTCTCAAAAATTTACGAGGAACAAGAACGGACCGCCTTTACAAGCAGGGCACATGGTCGTGGGTCGCGGTATTGTTTCATTTTATTTCAGTTGTCACGAGGTCACAAAAACTTAGTCCGGAAATGTTTTCATCCTAAACCAAGTTAGTTAACGTAGGTACGCGCCGAGGCCATCAATCTCATGACCTTTGTTTAAAAAGTAGGATGAGAAAGTTGACGTGAGCACATATTATTATTACGAATTGAGCCAAACGACAGGCCAGTCTCAAGTATCGCCATACAGAATTCACCACCAAACCAAACAGGCCGATACTTTACGACTTAATTTTGTCTGCAATAATACAATTGCACCACTCGGATTAAGTATGAGAGGTAGGAATGAACGTAATCCGAGACCTTGATGACTTAACGGCTGAAAAATATTAGTCTTATATAAATTCCCATTGCACATTATGTATTTCATGTCTGAACCCCGATTACCGCAGACTGCATGTAAAGAACCCACCACGGAAAGAAATTATGTGCCACGGTTGCATAATAATAATTAATTAGAGATGCAGTAGCGGTGGTGAGATGGGGATGAAGTAAAATAATTTGGATTTGTGGTTGGTGACTGTGAAGATTGGTGTGGCCTGTCCTGTTTTGCAACATGTACTTTTTGCGGTGGGTAAGTACAGTACAGTAATTGTGTAACTACATATATCGTCAGTCATCTCTCGAAATTATAACGTCCTAATAAGCTATTTTTCTTATTAGCCAGGGAGCCAAATTAGGGAACGTGTGACTCGCTCTTTTTTCCAGGATCGAATCTATCCATTTATGTACAAGAATAG